GCGACCGATTTCATTCTCGGTATCATTTTGCATTTGAGAACGGTCAATCAAATTAATATCACTTCCTTTTCGTTGGGAAAGAGAGACACTGGCAGCGGTCCACTCTACCCATGATTATGGGTTTTGGTAAAATTGTCATATATTACATATTAAAAATCAATATATACATTTATATAAATCACTCGGGATACTTTTGAAAAAGAATAACAAGCTGAAAAACCAAAAACGCTATTGTCTTAGTTCTCCGGGAAAATAATTTTAGGTTTATAAGTACGCACCGAAACGCGCTCCGAGTTGGACTCATCGACATGTCGACAAGTAGTGAACCCCCAAGTGCTGTCAAAAAACGCGAATTAAATAGTTATTTGAGTCTTTTGAGTCGCTCCTACTAAATCGCTCGCCCAAATTTTATGGGTATGAAATTTATCTAAATCGGTGTATTTTGGACGCTGATTCCGAATCACCCCCCATGACGTAGGGTAAAAATGCTTCCCTGGAGAGTTATGGGCAAAAAACCGTTTTTGTCACGTGACAGGCTAGTAAAACATAAATTCGATTGTTTAGGGCTCAGTTTAGGGTTAGGGTTGTGGTAAGGGTTATGGATAGTTTCGGGGTTATGGTTAGGGTTAGGGTTGGGATTAGGGTTTATTTAAATAAATAATATATAAATAAAATAAAAACCGTTTTGTACGGCTGTAAAACCATAAAAACCAAAGTCACGTAAAATTTTTGGGCGAGCGAATTAGTAAAAGCCCTTTTGAGTCTTGACACTATTTTAAGGTTAAACGGGTTTTTTCCATTGTTCATGGACTAGCCCGGCACGGCGGCATGCGCCATTTCGTAGCACTTGCCTCGAGAAGAAAGCGGCGCACGCTACTTTGAAGAAATTTAGACGAGTAACACCCGTCAATTAGATATTAGATAATATTTTAAGTCAATTATTTATGCCAAGTTAGTTGAATTGTTTGTCAATAAAATTTGAAATGGTATAGGCATCAGCATATATTATTTAACAGGCTGAGTGCCGCCTAGTGATTGCTCTATCCAGATCACAGAGCCCTTGCGCTTACAAACAAGCGCGCCCGCAGTGGCACGAAAGCACATGGTTAGGTGAAGCCCAGTGGTATACATGTATATATGTAGGTCAAATTTGTTAGCGGTAAATAGCTCTGAACAAAAATCAAATATGACGACGTGGGACAAGGTCAAATAACAACACATGACATAACATACATAATACAGTGTACAGCCATTGCTCACCTTAAAATGTAAAAGTTGTTAGATCAGAGTATTAAAATTCTATTTGAGTTTATTCCAGGTTATATGGTTCTAACTCAAATAATTTCATATCTTAAAACCTCAAATATTAACATGATGTTTGTCTAAATATATTTATGCGAAGGTTGATAAACCACGAGGGTGAAAATTCAGCAAAGGAATTGTCAAGTACAATCATGTGCACCATTATCTGGAGTAGCCCACTATTTGCTCTTAATCGGAATGATTTACAGCCCTCTTCATCTCATGAATTTTCTGTGGTAAGATTGTATGCAGCTCTAAAATTTATCATTTTCGGAATTTTAAGTTGATATTCAGCCGAGATGATCTTCCATGCACTTGAATTAACTGCCTTGGTCATTGATCAATACAACTGAAAGTTATATCCTTCAAATTCACTGTTGACACTTTTGGTAAGCAGGATTAAATTTTATCGAGAGCAAATAAAAGCGGATGTATAACGACTCATGTATAACTGGAATATTTTCAGTTAACAGAACTATCTGAATGGAAATCTATACAGTTTTACCTTACCTTTAGAATTTCCGTCCTCTGCCACAAAAAGAACATTGACCGTAATTGGAAACTCATCAAAAGCTATTACTTGGAGGAAAAACTAATAAATATCATCCTTATTCAATGTTCTACTGTTGCAGCTCCAAGCTTTCAGATTGAGTTGTTTGGCAATAAGTCAAGCAATCAGACCATTGCTTTCATCAAAGAGGCATGTCCAATGGAAATTAAGACATTTGAGATTGATGAAAAGCTTCCGGAAATTTTGACTAAAGATATGTTTATTCTTCCTATTGATGTCAACAAATTTCAAAAGGCTTCTGTAAGTTTATTTATGAAAACCTTGTGTGCGTTGTTAAGTATGACTTTAGTTTACATTAATAGTTTACATTAACAATTTTGGTTGTATGAGTGATCAATGTTTTCATTACATATTTTCTGTGCAGGACTCTTGGTTTTTCAACCCATCTGACTTCATCATTAGAGGAATTGTAGAGTTTTCTACTCTGAGATCAGCTATCCAAAGCGAAAATAAAGTCGTCTCTCTCACACAGAAAAAATATCCATCTAGTGTGTAGCTTTTGAAAAAACATAATTTCATTTTTATTGACTTAATTTCGAGTGAAAAGTCAACATATTGAACTTTATATATCATATAATACTGTACATCATTTTATATCAAGCTTTGCTACCCATCTTTTTATACATGTAAAATAGATTTATTTTAGCTAATAGATATTGGTCATAATCAATATTGGGTATAAAACATCATAATATACTTAGTCAGCATTGTAAATGTTAAAGACAGCAACAATGGTATCCAGAAAACCACAAGACTTTTTCTGACCAACTGTTTTGCAATTGACAAAGTTTTGAATTTAGTTCATGATTTGGAGGAAATGTCAGCTTTTCACCATGCTCGTTATCACGAGAGTTCCAATGGCTGTGAAGAAGATACCATCATTTTTCGATCAGAACAAGGCTAGTGGGGAAATGATAATTGCAATCATCAGTGGTTTTACTTTGAATGGTACTTTCAATTGAGTCACTTGGTCATGTCAGGAATCAGGATGCCCTCTAGTATTTAGTTGCCACTTAGATATTTATTTTTAGCATCTAATCAATCTTTTTCTGAAGTAGTCGGTTTCCAACATACAAATGTTACATCTTTTAAAAGCAATCACAGTTATACTTACATGTAGTTTCCTCAGTCATAAGAGACCCTATGGAAGTTTTAACCATCCCTTACCAGAGAATTGTCTACAATATCAGAACTCCAGGCCTTCCTACAAATGATGTCCACATAAATGCTTGCTTTGATGGATTAAGCACGGTTTGGAACTACTTTGTGAAAAGTAAAGTATGCAAATTTGTACGGTTGAAGTGCTTAGACATAAAATGCCAAGCAAAGCTTGTAGACCTTGTCTTCAAGTCAAATCTTGGATGTGTTATAATTAAGGTAAAGACTAATTATTGGTCTTAATAAGATGTTATTATTGCTCTCTATTTAAAAATATCGTCTCAGGTTTTCATTTTACAGGTGCCTGTGCTATATTCAGATCAGCTTAAAAAGCTTGAGTAAAACACCTTTTGAATTTATCTTATCAATATATTGCAGATATATGAGAATGATGCTGATGATCTTTTTCCTGAAATTCTTGCAATGTGCCATACCCTTCCTCCAGTCATTGAGGTGGTTAAGATGAATTCTAAAAAAGCTAAGTTTTCATATGAAGTCAAATTCAAGGACTGGTATGCAGTAAGAAGTCAGATCTCCGCATTGAAACTGATCCAAGTTTATGCAAGAGGTGCAGGCAATATAGCAGTTTCGTGTGGATATGAGATAAGAGTTTTATATGATGTTTGCAAGGACAGAGATTGTCAGAAGATTGTTTATTTGTATCTCAATTGCAAAAAAGCATTACCTGATGTGCAAACTCTGCGTAGAATTCTAAGGTTTATTGGATTCACAGGTTGGTTTTTCATTTTCTACAGTTGCAAATTTACAAGAAACTGAATGAAGGCACTTGCAAAGTACAGTAGAATCCGTGCCTTTCTGTTAAATACTGGGAACGTTGATATATTGGACCTCTCAAACTTTTAGCTAATTAGCTCGTGTTGTGTAAGAAATTTTGTTTGAATACTGGTTTTTATACTGAGCAGTGTGCACTTTTTGGCCTGGTATTATATAGAGGTTTAACTGCATTGCCAGTGAGCTGTAACTTAAGCCACGGTGCAACCATTTCTGTTAGTTCTTAGTAATTCTTAATCCACCCCAACTGTGCCCTAACCATGCATTGACAGATTTGAGATTACCAAACTACAGAGTGCTGTGTATGTGATTATAATTCTAATTAGTAACCACACTTCCATCATTATCATAATATGACCAATGGCTATGGATAACACTGTCCACATTTTATTTTTCCATAGGTTTTCAAACACCAGAAGAGATCACTTGTGACAGCATCATTGTTGCTTATAGTGGAAATGTCATTCGAAAAACCAATAATATTCTCCACCCTCAAGTTCTTGAGATTGGTTATTGTAGTCAAAAGCATTTATATAGTAAGTTTAAATTACAATTTTATGAAAGCAAAACAGTTTTATGGATGACGAAGATTTATTTACATAAGGAATAGTGATAGTGATTGAAAAGGTCAGATTTTCTATTCTATTTAGCAAATTATCATACTATTTTCTTTAGGCGAGATAAGCCCAAAAGTGGTTATCCAAATTGGTAAGAGTCAAGTTTTTGCAGTGTGGATGAATCTAGCTCAAGCTTATGCTCTCTATGATCTTCCACAAGTAATGAAGATACGTCTAGGAAAAGTTAGATCTGCTCTGATGAATGATGAATCATGTATTGAGTAAGTATGCAGCCACAATAATATATTTTATTTCCACCAGCTGGCCCTGAATAACGTTCACACGGTCATCAGTACTTTTCCGAATTTCTGTATCTAAACTCTTAAAATTACAATGAAATAGAACTTTAAATCTTGCAGAATTGATGTTGGAGCAGATATAGGTTATGATCAGGCATGTAAACAGATAAAGACTGCAGCTTGTGGTGCGATACCCAGTGATAAATTATCAGATATTATGATTATATTCTAATTAAACAATGATAATATGTAAACAGATGTGATCCTTAATTTTTCGATTACCCACTTTTCTTGGTTGGTGATGCATTAAATCAAAACATTGAGTAAATCATGTAAAAAGATAAATTGTATGTAATAAATAATGCATTGAACTGAAACATATAAGGTTGTGCACATTAAAATACGATTTCTTGGTCGATATTTCATCCGTAATGTATATATGTCTATGAAGCTCAGGAGTAAGCTATCTTTGACTTTGTACTTGTGGAACGTGTGTCGTGGATCCTCAAGTTCTTATATCCATTAGTCCTCAACCCAAAGGGCTCCCTTCTGTGACCTGGAATTGTTTTAGTTAAGCTCACTGGAAATTACCTGCCCTTGTATCTTGTATCTAACTACAGTGGTATAATATAGTATACCTACTAGCTAAATGAGTCTAGAAACGCCTTTCTAATGATTTCAGGGCGAAAATGAATCCACAGCAATTTAACAGCTGCTTAACATCTTAAACCAAACCTTCAGAACTAACTAACCTGTTTGAGAAGTTATTGTTTCTGGAACACATATAGAACAAGGTGTCAGCCTTTGTAAACTTGAGAACGTGACCAAAGTAGCTTGCTGGTGCATTGTCCAGTTTGTCATCTAGTTTGCGTTTCTTAGCCAAAGACAATGAAGCAGGACATTGGTCTGTCTCCCTTTTTGCTGGTTAAATAGTTTGTTTAGAGCACCTATAAATAAACTTTAAAGAAACGTTTTTAAATTATCATTATATTAATCAAACAGACATTAGCACTGCAAGCATACCGCAGTAGAAGCCAGAAGTAGCAAGTCCAACAGCAATATCCTCGCCAGTTGCCCCAGTGTCTGTTAAGGACTGTACACCGCTCCAGAAGTCCGCATCCGTGATCTTTAAAGGGTAACTTTCATCTAGAGAGGTCATCTCCAACAGGTTGTGGCGATCTGTACCTGTTGTAAATATGTACCTTGTTATTGGTTTTCTACACAGTATATTAATTACAGAAAATCGAGGAACGGTTACTGTAACTATAATTAATTTCATTGTAAGAAAGCCGATTTCGAATTCAATTCGTCATCAACCAATTAAAATCTTACCATCTTTTCCTTCTCCTGCGTCTCCATCATTGTTGTTGTCATGGGTGTTTGAACCTGTCCACTGCACGTGCACCAAATCAGTATCTTTTTTAACGACCAGTCTGTCTGGTATAAAGTCGTATTCCGTAGCCGGGAACGTTTGTACAATATTACCCCGCTTACCACGCACATTCAGGTTGTGAATGGTCTTGCCATCCATCGAGTCCATCCTCGGCAACACCTGCGTAATGTGTATGTCATGTGCGTGCGAAAAGCTAGGTGTGTATAGCTGTTGAATTATTGTGGTACAGAGTCAAGATGGTTATCTTATAGATCTTAGCTCTTCATATTGTATTTCACTGAGTTGAAATCTTGTCTACTTACCTCGAAAACATGTGATCTGTCCTGGAAGGTACGACCAGTTTGAGCTGTGTTCAGTGCCAGTTCCATCTCCTCGCCGTTACCCAACACATCTATCTCAGGGTCGTTCTCAATAACATCACTGTGGAGTTCTCACTGTTAGAGGCTAGAGCTTTGTGTTTAGAAGTGGAACAAAGCCTCCATGTTATGTATCTAGGGCGTGGACTAGCTATACATGGTTAAAACGATTAAAGATAAAAGGAAGATGTAAAGAAAGAATGTTCTGGAGTGAAACTTACTCATCATTGTTGGAACTGGCATCAGTATTCCAACCGTCGTAGTCGGATGTTGAAATGTTGTAGCGCAGTCGCAGCACACAGCGTTTAGCATCTCCACTGGGGAAGTGAGGCATATCCACTTCAACTCTGGAGGCGTTGGGTGACGGACCGGGACCTCCAGCATTACCTGGAATTATGTTATGTAAGTAACGTAGAACTTACTAATTATCAGGTGTACAATAATCCAGTTATTAGTTACAGTTAGTGAGTTAGTATTTCCACTTAGGTAAAGGTAGTCAGCATGTACTGAAGAATATTTATTTTTATTTTGTTCTATGTGCATTGTGCTCTTATCTGCTGACCGAGATGGTTGACTCTACTCCAGGGAGCGGCTCCACACATCACTTCTGGAGCTTGGACTACACAAACCTCAGCTGCATCGTCACTCTGGTAATAAGGTTAGGTTTTGTTACTGTGAACTTGTAAAAGGAACTTGTAAAAGGAACTTGTAAAAGGAACTTGTCTCTTGTTCAGATCCCTCCTCCTCACTTCATTGAACATGTTTAATATTCTCACCCTGAGTTTACTCCAGGAGATCTGGTTTCTCTTATCTTTACTCCGGGCAGCTGCACAAGCGCTCTCGCTCGTTACGTCCTTCAGGACCTCCAGATAAGAGAGGAACTCAACCCAACTCCCTCCCTCGGCGGTACAGCTTTCCTCAGAGATAGGTCTACCATACTTTCTTTTCACTTCATCTTCGTCATCGTCGTCACTGGACTTTTTCTTGTGACTGCGACTTCTCCTCTTTTCGAGAGCGGCGGCGCCACCGAATACACATCTCCATTTCGAGTTACGATTGAATGAGTTTTTCTTGATATAATCGCACTTTTCAGTGTCTCCCAGCCAGGCAAGATCTATCCACGGCGTAGTTTGGAAGCGATTTAATCTTCTGAAAAACAAAAAGAAGTTTATTTGGCATTTTGGTTAGTAAGGTGAATTTATAAGAAGCATAGTTTCAGCTGAATAGAAAAACAAGTATATCGAAATCTTTGCAATACTTGTTTTTAAGACCTTGGTGCTGATATAATTTACCAACCAATGTGTGGTATATTGGACCCAATAATCTGATAACTTAGAAACTAACTCGGATTGCAGTGTAGGCTGCCAGTAAGGGAAGTAGTCCCTCTCCTCGGGGCATTCGTATCCACTTCTGTCCCCATCGTTGTTCTGTCTTGTTCTGGTAGAGGTTACATACCCTATATCGTCATCTTCAAGATCCTGATCCGCTGTGAACAGCCCTGTAGAACAATAAATGTTCACCAATGCCTCAGGTACTTTTCTATATATTACATGATAACAAAAATGTCAAAGCAATGAAGCAATCTCCAAAAGTAAAGCAGAAATATGACGAACTCCAAAAATAAAGCAGAAATGTGACGAACTCCAAAAATAAAGCAGAAATGTGACAATCTCCAAAGGGGGGCGGGGGAGGGCCGGAGTCCGGAAGGGGGTCTTAAGAACTTAAAACTGTTAAACTGAAAGTAAAAGCTACCTCCGTTAGCTTCTCTGTATTTGCATTGGTCGTACCAATAAACTGTTTCATGTAGGCCGTCTGTCTTATCAGAATTTGTTACGTAGTTTTTCAACATTCGGGCATCGTATTTATCATCCGACTCCTTCTTCCTTGGATCGTCGAATTTCTGCGGTTTTGATATTATGAAATAGTAAAACTGAGTAATACCAACAACGTCGAAATCCTTTGGTATGAAGACGAACCAAACCTCCAATAATCACGGACCCTGTCTCAACCTAAATACGATCCCGGGTAATCCTGATCGAGGTTGCAAATAGGACCAATATGGGCCTGTTGCCGTCCTGTTATCGTGCTGGTTTTAAAATAGGACCAATGTGGGCCTGTTACCGTCCTGTTATCGTGCTGGTTTTAAAATAGGGCCAATATGGGCCTGTTACCGTCCTGTTATCGTGCTGGTTTTAAAATAGGACTAATATGGGCCTGTTACCGTCCTGTTATCGTGCTGGTTTTAATAGTCAATACTGGACTAACCTGTGTATCAGTGCTGGTTCCGTCCCGCAGGTAGAAAATACGTTTTATAACTTTCTCCTCGTCACTACCATTACTAACAGGGTAATCTTCATCAGTACCATTACTCTGGCACATGTACTGTATCACAACGTTGCAGTTCATTTTGGAGTGGTCCTCCCCACAACCATGCTGATTTGTCCATTCTACCATAAGTTTGGTACCTTCCTTAGTGGTGGGTCCACTTGCGTAGTATTTCTGGGATATTGTGATATATGACCAGTATAATTGCTGGGATATTGTGATATATGACCAGTATTGCTGGGATATTGTGATATATGACCAGTATTGCTGGGATATTGCAGATATATGACCATATTGCAGAGAGTACGGGGTTAAAATATAAGTGTAACTCAGTCAAGGAAGTGAGCTAATGACTCCGTCTCTACACTATTAGAGTATTACACATCTATTTTAAATCTCCTTGGTTGACTCAGCCTAATGGTCGGGATATCATTTAGTTTTCAAATATTTCCATAAATCCGACCAAAGGAAATGCTTAACTCACCATGGTCTAGCTTACTCACCATGTTATAAATCCTCTGTAGTCTAGCTTACTCACCGTGTTATAAATCCTCTGTAGTCTAGCTTACTCACCATGTTATAAATCCTCTGTAGTCTAGCTTACTCACCATGTTATAAATCCTCTATAGTCTAGCTTACTCACCGTGTTATAAATCCTCTATAGTCTAGCTTACTCACCATGTTATAAATCCTCTATAGTCTAGCTTACTCACCATGTTATAAATCCTCTGTAGTCTAGCTTACTCACCATGTTATAAATCCTCTGTAGTCTAGCTTACTCACCGTGTTATAAATCCTCTGTAGTCTAGCTTACTCACCATGTTATAAATCCTCTGAAGTCTAGCTTACTCACCATGTTATAAATCCTCTATAGTCTAGCTTACTCACCATGTTATAAATCCTCTGTAGTCTAGCTTACTCACCATGTTATAAATCCTCTGTAGTCTAGCTTACTCACCATGTTATAAATCCTCTGTAGTCTAGCTTACTCACCATGTTATAAATCCTCTGTAGTCTAGCTTACTCACCATGTTATAAATCCTCTGTAGTCTAGCTTACTCACCATGTTATAAATCCTCTGTAGTCTAGCTTACTCACCATGTTATAAATCCTCTGTAGTCTAGCTTACTCACCATGTTATAAATCCTCTGTAGTCTAGCTTACTCACCATGTTATAAATCCTCTGTAGTCTAGCTTACTCACCATGTTATAAATCCTCTGTAGTCTAGCTTACTCACCATGTTATAAATCCTCTGTAGTCTAGCTTACTCACCATGTTATAAATCCTCTGTAGTCTAGCTTACTCACCATGTTATAAATCCTCTGTAGTCTAGCTTACTCACCATGTTATAAATCCTCTGTAGTCTAGCTTACTCACCATGTTATAAATCCTCTGTAGTCTAGCTTACTCACCATGTGATAAATCCTCTGTAGTCTAGCTTACTCACCATGTGATAAATCCTCTGTAGTCTAGCTTACTCACCATGTTATAAATCCTCTGTAGTCTAGCTTACTCACCATGTTATAAATCCTCTGTAGTCTAGCTTACTCACCATGTTATAAATCCTCTGTAGTCTAGCTTACTCACCATGTGATAAATCCTCTGTAGTCTAGCTTACTCACCATGTGATAAATCCTCTGTAGTCTAGCTTACTCACCATGTTATAAATCCTCTGTAGTCTAGCTTACTCACCATGTTATAAATCCTCTGTAGTCTAGCTTACTCACCATGTGATAAACCCTCTGTAGTCTAGCTTACTCACCGTGTTATAAATCCTCTGTAGTCTAGCTTACTCACCATGTTATAAATCCTCTGTAGTCTAGCTTACTCACCATGTGATAAATCCTCTGTAGTCTAGCTTACTCACCGTGTTATAAATCCTCTGTAGTCTAGCTTACTCACCATGTTATAAATCCTCTGTGGATTATCTCCAGCCTTACTGGCCAGTCTATCTCCAGTGTTGTAACCGCCCTTGTTGTTGTTCTGTGAGTCGAACAGCCTGTTGGCATTCTCCCTGTTTGATGTCTTCTCGTTCAACCTGGTGGGGACATGTTTTTAAATTTTAAAACTAGACGATACAAAAGTCTAAGGACACTGCAGTTTCCATTTTGATATACTATTATGATATTCCATCGGGAAAAGTGAAACTATCTTCAGTTTAGAAGTTCATTAAATGAGGATATATATCTATACTTTGTATCATCAGCCAAATGATTATTTGTGGTGTCACTGGCTGATAACTGTTGCGGATAACACATGCTGATGAATTAAAGAATTAACTATTATTAACTATAAACTATGAATTAAAGACATACTATGTTTCTGTAAAACAGTGTTACTCACCGGTTATTGGATCCTCGAGGGTTCTGCATGTAAACATCAGTAACGACGAGACTACTCAACGCGAGAATTATTGTCACGACAAATATCCGCATCTTAAATCTTAACTAAGGGGGTTCCCAACGCGAATATCCGTGACTATGACGAATTTAGAGGTAAGGATTACTTAAAAAAATATGGAATGGGGAATTGAAAATTACGTCCGGCCAATAAATCCCGAGATAAGACGGACTTTTCAAAATATTGTGGCTAGCTGGATAATGAGTTGAATTCTGTAGTTTGGTGACAGTACAAGATGGTAATATCTCAAATGTGAATTTATGATAATCTAAAGGGTAACTTGAGGATAAACATTGATGTTGTAATATAAGTTGTAAACTCCTAAACAGAACCCAAAAAATCTTATCACCGCGCGATGGAGCCGATATTTTACTGCATCAAAGGAACTGAAGTCCAAGTACAATAAAACCCATGTCTACAGAATGAATATGGCTCTTCGGGGCAAGCTTTAAACTTATAACAAGGGTCTCAACAATGTGTCTTTACAAATGATATCTTTACAAAAAACACAACAATGGAGGTGTGACACTTTGTTCTTATTTAAAGGAACTATTTTCAGGAGTGGTGTCTTGACGAAGATGCTTATTCCGACATTCCTCATTGTTAGTTTGTTCCATTGTGTAACAATATTATGCAGGCCCTTCGTTATTCGCCCATCATTGTCCCTCATTTTTAACTTGTGAGGCCGTTCTTGTTATCAAATAGTTGCCCTATTTAACAAGTATACCGTTTGTCGGTCTGTTCACAGAGACAATAATGGAGTCAGTATAAAGTTAGATCCGCCTCGCCTTCGTAGCTATGAAGTAGGTCAATGAGACCAATGACACATACACGTTATATTAGACACGTACGTTGTACACGTTATATTAGACACGTTCGTCGTACACGTTATATTAGACAATATATCAGCTCACACCCAGTGGTCGACCGGGGGCAGGATTCTGACCGGGGCCGGGGAGCCCCAATGTAGCCGGGGGCTGGCCACTGAGAATTGGCCGTGGCCGGGGCCGGGAAATATTCCATTTTGCCGGGGCCGGGGCCAGGGGTAGTTTACCAAACTGTAGTCAGAAATTGAAACATGAATTTTATAATAATTTAGGCTGGTGTGATGCAATCGGGAAGGATTAAACTCGGAAGCGGCTTATCCTAACCGACTTGAGGATTAAACGGTTACTTCGTGCTGTGTACCAGCTCAGGATAATCCTCAGGTCATACTTAATTTCTAATCCTCAACTCGGAACTGAGGATAACCCTCAGGATAACCCTCAGCTGATACTTTATCTAGACCTCGGGATTTAAAAGTAATCCCCACATCCAAATATGGCCCGATTCACAAAAATTTACCATAAAGTTCAAGACTTTCTTTCATGTTTGCACACTGCAACATTTACAATTTAGCTGCAGTGCAGTATTTTCACTTTTTAATTTCTACGTATGTTTTATCGCAAATTTCTCGGAGACGATTATACAAAAAATTATAATTGAAAAGTCTGATACTGAGGAAGAACCACGGTTTTTATGTTACTAACCGTAGTAACTTTTTTTTCAAAGTTGTTTCAGCTTTGAAATCTCGTAATTACCATTCATGAAATCCCCGGCTGTGCCCCCGGTAAATGCATGGTTTTTGGCCGGGGCCGGGGGTAAATTTATTGGCCGGGGTTTACCCCCGGCGAATTGCCAAATTTTGGCTGGGGCCGGGAAGGTCCGGTGGTTGTGATTTTGGCCGGGGCAGGGGCCGGGGCCCCGGTCGACCACTGCTCACACCCATCCCCAAAATGTGAAATGAGTTGACAGAAGAAGGTAAATTTGATAATTACCTGATTTGGTCATCAGCCAGTAGAAGGGAATGTATGAAGGCCAGCCATCAAGTAGCCCCCAGCCACTCACAGCACGCCCTCAGGTCACGTGACAGCACGTCACGTGACAGATCACATGTCATGTAACCACGTGACAAGCTCGTCAATCAAATGTCAAGGTCACGTGACAAGATAATTGACCAATGAGGAGCCAGAACTTCATGATGAATCAATCAATAATCCCGACTAAAGAATCTAAAGTCTGATTAAACGGTTGCCAAGCAGATTCCTGTTATTTGATCACTGGTTACGTGTTCAACTTTAGCATCACTTGACATGAATGTTATTTGAACCTCGAGATCACGTGACAAGAGTCACTTGATTACCCGTCAGAACGTCATGATGAATAAATCAATAATCCTGTCTAAAGGATCTAAAGTCTGATTAAACGGCTACCAAGCAGGCTCCTGTTACTTGATTACTGGTCAAATGATTCTTTACGATTTACCCCGGTCCAGTCACCACTCCAAATAAGCAGAGGGTGACATAACGAAATGTGGTGTAGGGTTACCATCACTCGACCTCCTGGAAATTACAAGTCTTATCATCAATTTTCTGACATTTAAGCAATAGCTACAGTATCTGAACCACATTTTCACCCTTTAAGATATAACAACTGTTAGGTAGCCTAGTGGTTAGAACATCCGTCTTCTGCACAAAAGGTTCAGGGTTCAAAGTCGAGTCTAGGGAGTAGCTAAGGCTCCATACCATTCACTATTATTAACTATTAAATTTTCTTGTTATAAATTTGATAAATTTCGAGAGACAAATAAAACTACCGTTTAATTGATAATTTGTTGTTGTCAACATTATAATCATAAATTGAAATCATCAAGAGTAAGATTGGGTACATAAATCATTGTATAACAGTTGCACGTTAATGGGGTTCTAGTACTGGTAGTTAGTTCCACCAACTATTTATTCAGATAAAGTTTGAGAATCTTATCGACAATATTTGTGTTTTCGTTCATTAGTTTGTTTACATCAGATAGACTTGTAGTGGTGATAACTGCATCCAATAGAGATCGTTCTTCCAAACTTAAAATATCTGTTAGGTCTTTTCCGCTGTCAATTAAACGCTGCTTCAAGACAACAAACAATTCGGTTTTCATCATGTATGAGAATAAAATGTCAAAACATTTATTTTGCTCTTTACACAATTTACTTTGTAACAGGACGTCTAGAGATTTAAGTAAACTCGATATCTTTTTACTGTTTGGTTGTTTGATTGGTACTCCTTTCCGCTTGCCTACGTGTTGCCAGTCAGTATCAGATTCTAACTCTTTAGCACTATATTCTTTGTTGGACTCATCATCGCTACTTGTTACACCACTAAATTCATCATCACCACTACCTGGTACATCAGAGTTAGAACCACATTGCTGAGATTCTTCAGAAACTATTGTATCAGCATCTGAATATACAGAATCCGGACCCTCCATTTTGACATCAGTCACATCTGAGTTAGCTTTTGACAGCGGCTGTAGAATTGCAGAACTTTCATCTGACTCTCGGTTCTCTCGATGATACCTACTAATGTGTGAGGACAGACTATATTTATTGGCAAAAGACTTGTCACAGAATGAGCAGGTTACAGAATTCATAACTGCAGTACAAACGTTTTATAATGCTATGCAACAACCATTATATAGCAATAATCGCATAAAATCGCAAATAATCGCAAAATAATCGCATATAATCGCATATATTAGCATGTAATTGCAAATAATAGCATAAAATTGCAAATAATCGCATATAATTGCAAAATAATTGCATAAAATAGCATATAATAGCATATAATCGCATATAATCGCATATAATAGCATATAATAATAGCATATAATCGCATCTAATCATATATAATCACGTATATTATCTCTTAAAATCACATTTTATTATTTATACTCGCAAATAATTGCATATAATTGCAAATAATCGCATATAGTAGCAGGGAGAATATAATCCAACTTATACATTCAACATATTAAAGATCTTTTCAAAGATTTATTTTCATGCTGATTGCCAAGCATCATCCTGGAGATGAAACTGTAACTCTTGAGTCTACCAAAGACTGCACCCAACATGTAGGAATACTTCCTAGTGGGGACATTAAAGAACCACACCAGACAGGACAAGGAGATCATGGTGAATTCTACGTCAACTAGCCAGACGGAGATCATCTTCGAGATCTATCACTTTCTGGATTATCATTCATAACCAGTAGTCAGCGCACCATTGATTTCTGCTTTCAAATGATAACTGCTAATACTCTTGTCGATTTTAATGCACAGAAACCAGCATTTGACCGGGACCGGGACCGGGAATAGCTCAAAATTGTCAATCCCGGTACCGGGATTCCCAGTACCGGGAATCCCGGTCGATTACTGGTGCATGCAACTGGCCAGGTTTAGGTATCAGGTGATTTTTCCTGCAATTTGGTAGTTGTGAAACATCACCTTGGATTTCTGTTGTCACAAAACGTACCTTTTTAGACCTTTTCTCAAAGCATATAATAGCATATAATAGCATATAATCGCATATAATAGCATATAATAGCATATTATAGCATATAATAGCATATAATAGCATATAATCGCATATAATCGCATGTAATATCATTCGATCACATATATAATCCATTGGGTAGGTGAAAATTGTCCCCCCCCCGACAATTGACCCCCCGATAATTGACCCCCCGACAATGTAACTCAATACAACATCACCTCATATCATACTCCTCACGGTTCTCTTGATCTAGGAAGAATGCACCTTTGTTGTGGTGTGCCACACTCCACATGAATAGATTCTTGGAAAATTCAGATGCTCTCCCCATAGCTAGTGGCACAGACGGGAATCGAACCCGGGACCCTGTGAATGCGAGACATTTCACAAGCAGGCAGACTAACGAACTGTGCCACATAGCCATTTATAACTATAATGTATTATTTTAAACTGACAAGCTCGTAAATGAAATGTCAAGGTTACGTGACAAGTTAATTGACCAATAAGAAGCAAGTACGTTATAATAGCATCCGTCACGTGATATTCGTAACGATCTTGTTAAACATGTTCATATTTTTATTTTAACAGCGGTCCATCTGGAGCCTCAGGTTAGTGAGTTAACGGCAACTTTCCTATGCAGGACAATGCGGGTTCAAATCCCGCCTAGCCTACTTCTCCAGATGGATCGCTCTTTTAAAACATTTAATTTTATCTATTTAAACGTAACGACCATTGGTATTCATTTAAATGCGATTATAAAATATTATATGCTATTATATGCGATTATATGAATATATGTTGGAGATGGAACTATAACTCTTGAGTCTACCGAATGCGATTATATATGCTATTATATGCTATTATAAGCTATCATATGCGATTATATGATATTATATAATGCTATTATATGCGATTATATGATATTATATGCTATTATATGCAATTATATGCTGGCGATTGAACTGTAATTCTTGAATCTTGAGTCTACCGAATGCGATTGTATGTTATTATTATATGCTATTATATCCCTTATATGCAATTATATGCTATTATATGCTATTATATGCTATTATATGCTATTATATGATATTATATGATATTATATGCTATTATTTGCGATTATTTTCAGTATTCATTCAGTATTCATTCAGTATTCATTCAGTATTCATTCAGTATTCATTCAGTATTCATTCAGTATTCATTCAGTATTCATTCAGTATTCATTCAGTATCCATTCAGTATTCATTTAGTATTATATGATATTATATGATATTATATGCTATTATTGAATGATATTACATGCGATTATATGCGATTATATGCTATTATATGCTATTATATGCTATTATATGCTATTATATGCTATTATATGCTATTATATGCTATTATATGCTATTATATGCTATTATATGCTATTATATGCTTTGAGAAAAGGTCTAAAAAGGTACGTTTTGTGACAACAGAAATCCAAGGTGATGTTTCACAACTACCAAATTGCAGGAAAAATCACCTGATACCTAAACCTGGCCAGTTGCATGCACCAGTAATCGACCGGGATTCCCGGTACTGGGAATCCCGGTACCGGGATTGACAATTTTGAGCTATTCCCGGTCCCGGTCCCGGTCAAATGCTGGTTTCTGTGCATTAAAATCGACAAGAGTATTAGCAGTTATCATTTGAAAGCAGAAATCAATGGTGCGCTGACTACTGGTTATGAATGATAATCCAGAAAGTGATAGATCTCGAAGATGATCTCCGTCTGGCTAGTTGACGTAGAATTCACCATGATCTCCTTGTCCTGTCTGGTGTGGTTCTTTAATGTCCCCACTAGGAAGTATTCCTACATGTTGGGTGCAGTCTTTGGTAGACTCAAGAGTTACAGTTTCATCTCCAGGATGATGCTTGGCAATCAGCATGAAAATAAATCTTTGAAAAGATCTTTAATATGTTGAATGTATAAGTTGGATTATATTCTCCCTGCTACTATATGCGATTATTTGCAATTATATGCAATTATTTGCGAGTATAAATAATAAAATGTGATTTTAAGAGATAATATACGTGATTATATATGATTAGATGCGATTATATGCTATTATTATATGCTATTATATGCGATTATATGCGATTATATGCTATTATATGCTATTTTATGCAATTATTTTGCAATTATATGCGATTATTTGCAATTTTATGCTATTATTTGCAATTACATGCTAATATATGCGATTATATGCGATTATTTTGCGATTATTTGCGATTTTATGCGATTATTGCTATATAATGGTTGTTGCATAGCATTATAAAACGTTTGTACTGCAGTTATGAATTCTGTAACCTGCTCATTCTGTGACAAGTCTTTTGCCAATAAATATAGTCTGTCCTCACACATTAGTAGGTATCATCGAGAGAACCGAGAGTCAGATGAAAGTTCTGCAATTCTACAGCCGCTGTCAAAAGCTAACTCAGATGTGACTGATGTCAAAATGGAGGGTCCGGATTCTGTATATTCAGATGCTGATACAATAGTTTCTGAAGAATCTCAGCAAGGTGGTTCTAACTCTGATGTACCAGGTAGTGGTGATGATGAATTTAGTGGTGTAACAAGTAGCGATGATGAGTCCAACAAAGAATATAGTGCTAAAGAGTTAGAATCTGATACTGACTGGCAACACGTAGGCAAGCGGAAAGGAGTACCAATCAAACAACCAAACAGTAAAAAGATATCGAGTTTACTTAAATCTCTAGACGTCCTGTTACAAAGTAAATTGTGTAAAGAGCAAAATAAATGTTTTGACATTTTATTCTCATACATGATGAAAACCGAATTGTTTGTTGTCTTGAAGCAGCGTTTAATTGACAGCGGAAAAGACCTAACAGATATTTTAAGCTTGGAAGAACGATCTCTATTGGATGCAGTTATCACCACTACAAGTCTATCTGATGTAAACAAACTAATGAACGAAAACACAAATATTGTCGATAAGATTCTCAAACTTTATCTGAATAAATAGTTGGTGGAACTAACTACCAGTACTAGAACCCCATTTACGTGCAACTGTTATACAATGATTTATGTACCCAATCTTACTCTTGATGATTTCAATTTATGATTATAATGTTGACAACAACAAATTATCAATTAAACGGTAGTTTTATTTGTCTCTCGAAATTTATCAAATTTATAACAAGAAAATTTAATAGTTAATAATAGTGAATGGTATGGAGCCTTAGCTACTCCCTAGACTCGACTTTGAACCCTGAACCTTTTGTGCAGAAGACGGATGTTCTAACCACTAGGCTACCTAACAGTTGTTATATCTTAAAGGGTGAAAATGTGGTTCAGATACTGTAGCTATTGCTTAAATGTCAGAAAATTGATGATAAGACTTGTAATTTCCAGGAGGTCGAGTGATGGTAACCCTACACCACATTTCGTTATGTCACCCTCTGCTTATTTGGAGTGGTGACTGGACCGGGGTAAATCGTAAAGAATCATTTGACCAGTAATCAAGTAACAGGAGCCTGCTTGGTAGCCGTTTAATCAGACTTTAGATCCTTTAGACAGGATTATTGATTTATTCATCATGACGTTCTGACGGGTAATCAAGTGACTCTTGTCACGTGATCTCGAGGTTCAAATAACATTCATGTCAAGTGATGCTAAAGTTGAACACGTAACCAGTGATCAAATAACAGGAATCTGCTTGGCAACCGTTTAATCAGACTTTAGATTCTTTAGTCGGGATTATTGATTGATTCATCATGAAGTTCTGGCTCCTCATTGGTCAATTATCTTGTCACGTGACCTTGACATTTGATTGACGAGCTTGTCACGTGGTTACATGACATGTGATCTGTCACGTGACGTGCTGTCACGTGACCTGAGGGCGTGCTGTGAGTGGCTGGGGGCTACTTGATGGCTGGCCTTCATACATTCCCTTCTACTTCAGCCTTCTTTTGATATAACAAAAATACAAATCGTGAATATAAATACAATAAAAGCATACAATCCCTTTCCATTTGCACTTCAAAAACCTATGATTTCATACGTGGCACATCTAAGAGGGGTTCTGCCTGATATATATTTGTGAAACTCACAGTTGGTTCGTGCGCACTAAACACACTTTTAAAACCGAACACACTTTACGTACGAATTTTTTTAACGCACTTTTAAATCTGTTTCTAACAAATCAGTGCGTGGGCAATATCAGTGCATCTGAAAAGGGTACCGCGACAGTTGATCCCCCGACAATTGAACCCCCGACAATTGACCCCCCGACAATTGACCCCCTATGTATTTACACTGGGGTCAATTGTCGCGATATCTAGGGCTTAGTACGACATAAATTGACCCCCCGACAATCGACCCCCCGACAATTAACCCCCGACAATTGACCACCCCACAATTGATGTAATTACACTAGGGTCAATTGATCGGGTTAGGGTTAGCGTTAGGGTTAGGGCTAGGTGTGAGGGTTAGGGTTAGCGTCAGGATCAGGGTCAGGGTTAATTGTACTAAATTGTATTGTCGAGGGGTCAATTTGGGGGGTCGATTGTGCGGTAACGCACTTTACCGTACTTAAACGCACGAAAAAATCTTCACGAACTAAACGCATTTTTCCTGAAAAAGTAACGCACGAACCAACTATGGTGAAACTTGATCAGGCATGTTTGGTTTTTTTGCTTTAATAGCCACAGACGAGCAAAATATGGGCATATCTACTCTGCGAGTACCGGTGGTCGCTTGGATTTTGCGACCCCTCAAAAGTTTGGTCACATACCCTAGTTGATTGTTAAACTACAATCCAAACTACTTCATTTCTGAATCAAGTTTCAATATGATATCCGGCTTAATCCCCTGATCAAACGATTGGTCGATAAAATGTAAGCTCTAGGCTGCAAGCAGATAGTTTCAAATTTATATGAATCTGTAATTGTCATAAATTGTCCAACGGACACGTAAATCCAAACCAAAATAAATGTGCAGTAATGTTGTTTAAATTTCACCTAACAAAGATTTGGTACTTAGTCAAACAAATTACAATTATAGAAAATTATCAAACACTGAACAATAATAATAATGAATAATATCGTTTTAACATTCAAGTAATGTACTCGGACTCCAAACACCGCAAAGGAAAACAAAAACTGTATCAAATGATACAAGGTGTCATCCTAGGGTATTCAATTTAACCTAAATTAGTTAAAACAACCCTGCCAAATTATATTTGCGAAATAATGCAAATATTACTCTACAGTCCATATTCCAGGCCACTCGTACGGTATAGAACAAGAATTGCGCCCGTTGTTTCGTCTTGGCGGACGCTAGATTTCCATTTCACTATAACTATTAATATAAGCTCTAATCAGCTATAATAATAATATTGAAACATCAATACACTACGCGTGCCACGTTCAAGTTGGGCTTATTACAAAATATTATACATTACTAGTATACATTAAAATACGCTCGTGCGCCGCGCATTCATTGACCACAGACTAGCTATACACCACATCTCCGCAAGCAATCCTCGCGCGCGTGCGCGCGGCAAGTTGACATGGTAACGAACGGAAGCAACACGACATATATTTGACCCACCTACTGCAATCCCCAAAATCCACGTTTTTCTGCAAAAACGTCCATTCGTAACCTTTCACTATTGCCTTTTTTCAAAAGGGTGAAAAGGAAAAAATCAAGTGTATAGAGGTAAACCCCAGTATCTGTAACATTCAGTCGTATTGTGATGCAATACAACTTGATTTGTTCTAAAATCACTAATTAAGTGCGATATAAGTGAGCTATGATAAGTCAAAATTCTTTCTTTGAACGAATTTTAACTCTAGTAAATATCTCTAATATTAATATTTTGTTGAACAATTGAAATATTTGATTTTTTTATTTCGTAAATAGATAAAAAGTTCTGAATATACAACTAATTACAATTTACATAATAAGCATCGTCAAAATCTGGATGTGTCTGGGGTTTCGATATGATCGACATGTAATTTAAAAGATCCTCTCTTTTTCCCGCATATCTTCACGTTCTTTAATGACACGCTTCCAGGATAAGGATGTTTTACGAGGGAGAAACGATATTTCGCCTCTCTCAAATTTTTCTAGCACCTGTAGTGCAGTTAGGTAAAGGAACCAATATTGTGTTTACAGTTATCTTGATGAACATTTCTATCAGAACAAATGTTCATTTATAAATTCAATCTGAAACTAGTGTTTAATGAAGGTGGTTTAAGCTGGTATTGTGGGAGTGGGGGGGGGGGGGTGGCAAACCTACGTTAAAAAGTGATATTTTGAACTTATTTATGTTCTAACATCCACGTGGCTCACCTCGTCTTCAATAGCTGACAGTTTTGAGGACCTCTTATTATTTTTAAGGTAATAAAACAGGTTGACGTAAGACCACAAGTTATGTTCCTGTTTGTGAGTGTCCCAGTCAATTCCTTTTCCAGAAACCTCGTCTTTTGTGAGCCCACAGATGGAACAAACACCGCTCATGTCCTCCAATGAGGTTTTTCTCAACTTCTGAAGTAATAATGATGTGAGAATTAAAATTCGGTAATATTTCCAATAAGACTCATTAGAAATCCTTAAACTGAAAATGATGAGTCGATGTTTAATTTATATGTTACCTTTTGTGATGTAAAGCCGTCTATGACCAGGGCAGTGACCACTTTTATACCAATGATGGAGTAGATGAGCCAGAATGAAACATCAATTGCTATTCTGATCCACATGTCAGTAAACGCTTTTTTATCAGTCCAACTGAAACGTTATATTATATTTTTTGGATGTACTGAATTTAAAAAACTGAAAATATTGAAAAATAATGGATTCACATATTACCTAATCAATTTTTAGGCAATTTTTACCCCCCCCCCCCCCTCCTCCGTAATCGGTTGTGTCAAAATTACACTAGCATAATCATTTGGAAACCCCCCTCGGCTGATTACGTAATATGTGAATGACCCCTATAATGAATTCACAATTTTGAAACATTTCAGCTAGACAAAGGCTGGGCTCATCTGCGAAACCGAAATATTTGAAATGCATTAATTAAATATAATGTAACACAACTATTACAATTCAAGAGTAATATGTATTCTCTAGTACCTAATAGGTGAAATAATTATACGACGCGATATACGGGGATTTTCGAAAATTTTGTACCACCATTTTTTTGTGCCCGGAATTATGAAAAATTTCTGCAAATGTATAAACTGTCCCCATTTTTAGCAGTTTTTTGTAAAGGATTTCAAAGGATTTCAAAGGATTTCAAAGGATTTCAAAATAAAATGATCATTACAATAAACATTGTGTCGGATCTAAATTTTAAAAAATAAAGATAAAATGAAAGTCAAAAACGAAAAAACCGAAACCTGTCCTGAAAAATGCACGGTTGACGGTTATAGTCTAAAGAGTTTAAAAACCGAGCTATTCTAAAAAGGAATGTTCATGACGCGAACAACCAGTCCTTTGTGTCCATGCCTAAGATCCACACATAAATTCCACACTAAGTCAAAAGTGTGAAACGCACACGAAAAAAAACACACTGTCTGATCCACGTTTCGCATGTTGAGTCCGTGAGTCATGTTGTAGGTCCTTCCTTTTCTTTTCTGTCACTCGGGGGGAACCTCCGCTTGTTCACTTTACTCAAGAATCTGGCAGTTTCTCTGATCAATAGGATATCCTTGAAGAGGTCGGCAAAGGTCTCCGCTCCAGAGGTGATCATGGTTCTCGCCTGCTGACCTATGTTTCGCCTCAGGTCGTCGTAAAGCGAACAATCCGTGAGAACGTGTTTCTCATCTTCAATGATCGGCTCAAACATTGGTAGTTCGGCCAGTATACCGACAGCTTCAAGGTCTGATGAAGAACAGTGCTTACAAATGCGACTGAGCGGATTTTCACGGTTGATGGCGTATCTACCGGTCTCGATGTTGAACTTATGAGCACTCATTCTGAACTGCACCAGCCGCTTCACCTCTTCTCCACTGAGCTGCAGGTTCAGGTACGCTTCAGCTGTAAATTCACTTTTGATAGTGTTGTAGAAACTGAGCTTCCGGTTGTTTTGCCGCTCATCGTTCCAACAGTTAATAAAAGTACTACGTAGTGCTGTTTTGAATTGGTTGGGGTAGGTCAACCTGCGAGATGATACTGACTGAAGGCTTTGTCGGAGATCTTCTATACCTTTGTACCATGGCAGATTGAGTGTGCGTTGTTCTATGAACGCCTGTCTGGCTAGACTTGTGCAACCAGCTCTGTCCATTTGCTCAAGTCGGTTGAAATACCCAAATACTTGCTTTGATGCCTTTATCACTAGGGGGCAGCGGCATGTATCACCCCATACACTCGCATTTGAGGTTTTTCTGCCCACTCCTAAGGTCCACTTGAGGAATGAGAGATGAAGCTTTTCGAGAGGATCTCTTGCAGTCTCCTTCAGGAGAGATTTGGTGTTGATATTATCTTGATAGTTTCTGACAAAGAGAGTCTCTGGGAGCCACACCTGACATCCGTATGTCACAATCGGTACCACAAGCGCGTCGAATAGCTTGAATTAGGCTATCCATTATCGGTATGAAATTTTTTATCTAGATAAACAGATAAAGATTTAGGTTTTATCTAGATAAAACCGATAAAACCGATAATTTTCTGCTAAAGGCCAAAGCCAAAATGTTTTCCAAATTTCACAAAAACTAATTGTCGAGCTTTATGACTGTTTTACCAGTAATCTTGGTAAAGTACCACTTCCTTTCTTTTGAAAATACTAGAGCATCAGTTTTCTTCTCCGGGGAACAGTTGTGCACCAATTCTCTTTAAAATACTAGAGCATCAGTTTTCTTATCCTAAGAACAGGGGTGAACATTCTCCAGAAAACAGTATAGCGCTAGTTTCCTTCTCCTAAGAACAGTAGTGCACCAGTTCTCTTCAAAACAGTAGACCAACGGTTTTCTTCTCATAAGAACAGTAGTGTACCAGTTCTCTTCAAAACAGTAGACCGCCGGTTTCCTTCTCCTGAGAACAGTAACGCACTATTTCTCTTCAAAACAGTAGACCAACGGTTTCCTTATCCTGAGAACAGTAGTGTACTACCAGTTCTCTTCAAAACAGTAAAGCATTTAAAGTGATTCAGTGAACCGTTTCCTTATCCTGTGGATAACTTGGAGCAACAGATTCCTTCTCTTGAAGACAATGTTTCACCCCCAGAACACGTCCGGAATTCAATTGAGTGCCCTACCGGTATTTTTGACTTCTGTTAACAGTACCATGCTTGTGCCCGTCTCCAGAATGGTTGTAAGGTAAAACGCCAGCACCCTCTAGAGAACAATGTCAATAACCTTCTCTGGATTTCTGCAGTTCATACAGTTCTACAGGTATACAAATGTAAATAAACATCTTAAGCTCACATCCAAGTAAACTACCCCTTCTATCATACTAGAAGACATTTGGGACTGTTTCTTGGATAACTTGGGAACAGAGAGAGGCAAAACTACTAATATTTCTTTAAAATTTCACTGTATTGTGGCAGTATTTTCGGTAATTTCTAGTGAATTTTTATACCGATAAAAATATATTTTATCTAGATAAACAGATAACTTTTTTTAACGAATTATCGGAGATAATTATCGGTTACGATTATCGGAGTGGATAGCCTAGCTTGAATACGATTGTTCGCCTGAAGTGTCTTAAGTCAATACTGCTTTTTAGCGCGAAGTAGCTTCTGAGACCTTTTTGCTTCAGTTTGTTCTGTGCTACTGCTGAAGAACCGTTGAGGGTAAAGGTTATCCCGAGGTAGCAATATTCTCGAACTGATGTGATGTTGGTTTCGCCGAGTTGGAATGTCAGACTCTCTTTAAGGAGCCTCCCGGAACGGTTGAACACCATCACTGCCGTTTTTCCGATGTTAACGGTTAGTCCCCATTCGATACAGTAACTGTGTAAAACGTTTAGAAGTTTCTGTAGTCCAGTATGGTCAAGGGCAAGAAGTATAAGATCATCAGCCCAGAGGAGATGAGTGATATTAACATTATTCAGTTCAGGGACGTTGACTTCCTCAGCGTTATCCAGATCTAGGGAGAGTTGGTGGATGAAACACTTGAACAGGTCAGGAGACATCGGGTGACCTTGCTCAGTCCCACAGTGAATGTCGATTGTCTCTGACAATCTGTTCAACAGTTTGATTTTTGCTGAGGAATGTGAATACATCTGCTCGATACATTGAAAGTATCGACCTCTTACTCCTAGCTCCCAGAATTTATAGAGCATGGCATCTCGGCACACAGAGTCGAACGCCTTCGCGTAGTCGACGAAGCATCCATATAGCCTCTTTTTCCGTTGCGTTACATACTTTTGGATGCAAGTTGAGAGTGTTAGTATGTGGTCACTCGTCTGTGCTTTTTTACAGAACCCTAGCTGGTTTATGGTGTCTGGACAGTTCAGTGACCGGAATGTGAGTAGGCGCTGTAATAAGATAGTTGAAAACAGCTTCCCAACATTGCTCGCCACGGCTATCGCCCGGTAGTTGTTCGGATCGTATACACTCCCCTTTTTGTGCAAGGGGGTAACTAGAGAGGTCGTCCATGGATACTCCCCGAGTTTCAAACAGTGGTTGAACAGGTGAGAACAGCTGACAGCATTGGTTCATCTGACGAAATGAGGAACTCATTCAGGATTTTATCTTCGGCGATGGCTTTCCCTTTCTTAAGGCCTTTGATGGCGGTCCGAAGTTCCTCTATTTCGATATCTTTGTCCAGAACTTCCACGAGTTCATGAACACGAAGTTCAGTCTTTCTGCGTTCCGTGAAGTCAGCAGTTTCTTCATTCGGGATGGAAGGTTTTGAGTACAGCTCTTTGAAGAATTTACAGAAGTTCATCATATCGAAAACGTCCAGCTTTGAGCCATTTGAGGAGAAGCTTTTAAGTTTCTTAAAGCGACTCCAGTTTATGTCGCGCCCCTCGTCAACATCACGACAAAGAGATTCCACGAACTTGGCCTTCTTCTGTCTCACGAGCTTTCGGTATTCGCGGCGTTTGTTGTAGTAGCTGTCTCTCAGTTCTTTATCAAGAGGACTTTTACCGTATGTTTTAGCTAATCGATTTAGTTCACGTTTTTCGATGATGCAGGCAATATCAAACCATGGAGACTTCGGTTTTGCCCTTTTGTATCCCCGAGTTTTCCTATTGAGGGGTTTTTGTTTATGTTTTCTAGGTCTTGGTAGGGCCTGATCAGCCATATCACGATAAATGCCGACGATGTTTTCATTGAGCTTAATGACATCCTCCTTTTTTACGCAAACAGCTTCAACCAGTTCCGCGATTCTGCTTGCAAACTGGGGTTCTTTTTGGACATCTAGGAACTGCTGTTTATTCTCTGAAGCATTCTCGTCCCATTTGTGTTTTATTGGGGCTGGCTGGAGTGAGGATAGAATTTCGTCCGGATCAATTATATAATTATGACTCAGTTTCAGTGTGCATAAGCATGGGCGGTGGTCTGAGAATTTCGTAAGATCTAAGACCTTAAGACTTTGCACCGATTCCTTTAGCATGGGGGATGCTGTTACGTAGTCTACAACGCTGTGTCCATTGTAATTAATTGAGGTGGGTTCCCCAAAGATGTCTCCTAGTGTATCACCATTAAGAATGCTAAGGTTCAGACTGGATATGAAGTCCAGAAAGAGTTTTCCCCTTGGGTTTATCACAGAGTCTTTGCTTGATCTTTGTGACTTTTCTGGAAAGCTTGCGATTGTTGAGAAAGCCTCGATGTCAGCTGGAGGTTCATCATCAAAGTTAAAGTTGAGGTCCCCTGTTCTTGCATTGAAGTCTCCTAGAACCAGTTTCTCGCCGAGATCTGTGTTTTTAGCAACAAAGTCAATAATGGATTCGAGTGTTGACTGGGATGGTCCACCATTGCTGTTTTTCAGTCCCTTTTTGTAGGATGACTGCTCTGGGGAGTCGTATACGTTGATTATTGTGAACTTAAGAGTATCATCAGTGGCGGGGCAAAAAGTCACCGCTTGAATATCTGGATGGGAGCTTTTTACGGGCTTGAAGTCTCCTGACAGGGATCGATGGACCCCCACACATAGCCCACCGGAGCGCGAGCCGGTTCTAAGGCTATTGTAGCATTTGAAGTTTGGAAGGTGGAACTCAGCCTTCGTTTCCTGCAGGCAGAATATGTTACACCCAATGAGAAGTTTGACGAAGTCCTCATCATCGGCCTTGGGGCCCTCTTTGAAGGACATTGCGTCATGAATGTTCCACGACAAGATCCTCATAAGGTCTTGTTGGTGGCTCGTAGTCCTATCAGGTATAGAATTAATCATTGCGCTTCCTTTTCGGTTTGTATCCAGTTTCGTCCTCGTAATTCCCGTGACTGGTCTCCATGTCTACAGTTCTATAAAGAGAATCACGAAACTTCAGCCAGGTTTTCCGTTGGCCTCTTTCTGAGAGGAACAGTTCTACGCCATTTTTTCCTGTCCCTTTGTTTATGAATCCACCGAGATTACGATTACACGATGTAAAGACACGGTTTCGGTATTTTTGTCCTGATCTGAGGTTGCTCACAAAAGTTGACAGCAAGCCATTAAAGGATTCAATCTCCTCGGTCAGACGAGGGTAGCCAGGGATTGGGATGATCGCTGATAGGCAGAGTTTAGCCGTTGTCGATTCGAGGATGTTGTAGACCATCTGTTTATATTTACCGTAATGTTGCACTAACTGTAGTTATCAATCCATCATCTTCTAACCAGAGATCTACTTAACTTAATATTTTGACCCTCCCTGTGTGAGTTGGAGGTGACCCCAGGATGAAAATTTGGATTGAGATGACGATATCGGATATACTGCTCATGGTTATAATATTTCTCTTACTTTTTAGCTTTGCGGTTATTCTGGTTATAGTTCAATTGCGGGTTTTGTATTTCCCCTCTTCAAGTCAGATGGAAGACAAGTCTTCTTTGACCCTTTTTGTGTCTCAGACGGAAAAAGAGGATTTCGAGAAGCTCTACCGAAGGGTCTTTATGTTTATAGTCCCGTTCAACATTCCGCTTTGTATCTTAGTTTTAGCTGTTTGTACCACAGTGCTACTATACTACTGGAGGAATCGCGGGACCCTCACAAACAAAATATTTCTCCTAATAACAGTTGCTGATTTGATCACGCGTGTGTGGCCGTGGGTCACCTGATCCTGATGATATTTGTTGTCCTCACTCCTCCTATCATATAACGTGATACCTCGTATCTCTGCTACCGTGTGTGTGGTGATGCACACCGTACTGTCACTGCTCGGCTACGCCTTATCTGTCCTCTTCAACGTGGTACTCGCTGTTTTGAGGACTGGTAAAATATCCTTCCCTTTCCATCAGGTTAATGTGGGAGCTCTGAAGATAGCGATAGCTTTTGTAATCTGGTTTCTAGTATTGCTGTCTACAGTGGATGTTTGGTATGTCATCTACGTTGAACTGAATCTTGGAGAGTTCCCTTGGATTACACTTTAGCTGAATGTCGCGGTTTCTTTTGTCGGTCATAACTTGTCGAAGTTTCATTCATGTTCACATACCCAGGAACGTGTTCTTGATGATCCCAAACTTACTAGCAAGGTTGTTCTGTTTAGTTCCGATAACCGTTGTCCAAGTTTGCCTGGTATCCCAGTTTTTAGTCACATGGCTCAGAGCTCGCGCACGTGACCCTGACCACCTTGTGGTCACTGATTGGTCACATGTGAACACCACAGTCTCAATCCTGTCAGCAGCTTTCTTGGTCTGTAACTCTGGAATAGCTGCTCTGCAGTTCCAACTCGCATCATTTCGGATGATCCCTTTGCCTTGTTGGTCTGTGAATTGATGGTAAGCACGACGCTGCCGCTTCTGAACGCACTTCTGACATCACTCATCATATTTACCAGAAGTAGGGAAATGAGGAGGAGGATCGTATTGATGGTGATCCGAAGGGTTTTGTCTCCAGCTCGATACTAAAACTTGATACATCTAATTGAACAGCTCGCCATTAACATGGGACGGATAACATTATAACTCTGATCGATATAAGTATAATATGGTAAATATATGTTTGAATTTCTCGCGCACAACTCCTGGTTGATTATATTTTTTTGATCCTGCTTTCGAGAATTAAGACTAACATTCAATATTATGGAATGATTTCTACATTTTTCTTAAAAGATTTTTGTTCGAAATACCGTTTTTGTTCGAATTTAGAGCTTCACTTTTTGTTTTTGTTAGAAATACCACCTTTAAAATTAAATTTAGGAAACAAAACTTGGATATTTTTGGAATAATTTCACCTAAATTTACGCCGCCATTTCCGCTTCGCAGATAAACATACCTCCTATAATTATTAACATGATATTAGGAAGTACCTGTAGTTATGGCCACCATTGCTGTTTCTCATTGAGTATCTGATGGCTGTACTAAAACATTGAGCCAACGTGTTGCAGTACTCCATCTTGTCGTTATCAAACATGGAGCGAGCGAATGTAAAGTAAATCATGGAGTAGATGTAGATAATAAACACTGCAAACGGTATTATCACCTGACGGAGGAATAATTAATTAATTAATTAATTGGGTTTAAATCATAATTAAAATGTAAACGTCCGTGTTCCTCTCCTCTTTAGATCAACCATTTGCATTTGTAATAGAAACGCAAATACTGCTGTGTACACATCACATTTCACAATCAGTAAATTGAAGATCACCCTGAATTTAGCTTATATCCTCCTCTTGATTAAATACCCACCAAAAGTTGGTCTCTGTTGGCAGTGGCTCCTCGTATTACTCTGGTGAGGAGATCAAACATAGCCACTATATGCATCAAGTGTACACAGTACAGCTGACCGTGAAAACTGAAAAACAGTGTGAACCGTGTTACTTTTAGTGTATTTAATTTGATCATCTCATGCAATACGCCCCACGATAGGTTGTGATGAAATACAACGACAAAAACTGCTTAAAATAGATCCTTTCGTGCGGTTGGAACTATTCGTATTAGTATTACTCACAGTATTCCAAGAGCACTGCAACTAATCATTATAAGAAGCCAGACATTGTAGAAGGAAGTGATGTCAATCTTCATCCTGTGTTTTGTGTTCTTGTGGGCGTTGGCTTGCTCTGAGCTCTGTCCTAAAGCGTGAAGTTGTGATTTTGGACTAACAGCAAATCTATTGTGTACTATTGCAATGAATTTTCTGATTGATTGAAACCCCCTCGTAAGGGATTGTCTCTGAGGACTAATTTATTGTTTACATTTTATTGAATTTCTATGTGTGGCAGTATTGCAATCATTGAACCATTCATGGTTAGCCTGATCTGAGTATCGAGACTCTGAGTTTTCTTAGACAAACAGGACCACTTCTTAATCATCATGGTATTTCGTCGAACCCAGTTTGGGAGGTTTGTCATGTGAATGACTCACCCCAGATAAAAGCTCTCCAATTGAATGTTGGATGGTCGAAGCGGTGCCAGTTAGTTGTCGCGTAGGTTGCAGCAAGAAGAATAGTGGATGCGAGGTGTACAGCCCCTGAGGTGATTAGGTTCATTAAAAGCTGCTTTATTGGTCACTGCACTGATTGCACCTTGAGTACTGGGTATTTCTGCACATCAGTCGAAGTTTACCACCCGAAATAATGTCGGTTGAATTGAGCGTTCAGCTTTTTATCACGTTGAACGCTCGAAATCTGACTGACATTTCTACCGGTTGATTTCTACCAATGTGTACAAGTAAGTTTACGTCACAATATTTTTCCATCCGATAATATGATATGTAGAGTTTGAACTTATAAAAATGGCTAGATTTATCTTACCTAAAATGTCATGAGCCTTAGAAAAGACCTTGCTCACACAAACATTAGTTGAGTTATTATCTGCAGGAAAGTTCTTTATCTCAATCATATTCGTCAGACTCCCTTCTCCGCACGTTTTGTCGCCGCTAGTTCTCATTCCGAAATCTTCCAAATCTACCAACAACCACAGCTGAAAATAAAGCTTATAGATACCCCCTTCGTGATGAAATCATCAAATATCGTTTCCCGTTAAGAATTTCACAAATTTTGTTGCTTGATTTCCATCATTACACTGATTACATTCCTTTTGTCCCAAATTAAATGACTAAACTTTAAAATGACTAAACATTAAAATGACTAAACATTAAAATGAAGTTGTAAGACATTAAACCTGTATGACGATAGCAAGTAGAAGAACAAGCCAATCCCAGAGAAACTCCAGTCCGACCAACTCTTTCACTATCGGTATTTGTTTGAGGTTGTACATGTTCTTCATGTCTTTTATTATCTGACCAACAGAAAGTTCTAGATCAATGGGTTTTGGTCAAAAACAAAGGCGAAAGCTACATTTATTTACGAACTGGACCGATCCGTTCGTCCCATTGCGTGAAATAGTAATATTACATATAAAAAGCATTTAGTTATTCAGAATTTGAGATACAGGCCACCCTAGGTTCCCGTTCAGAGGCAGCATCTACTGTTCACTTTTACCATTTTTAAACCCATGCTCACCTCTTAATTCTGAAGTACATGAGTCATGAAAGGGTGTTAAATGTTAATTAAAGGGTGTTAAATGTTAAATGATAAATCCAGACTGACCTCTTCCGACCAGCCAAGGAAGTCCACGTTCTTATCAGTGAGAGTTTTCCTGGACAATCCCCACAACATCTGATCCTTTACTTTTCTCCGTATCAGGTCTTCGTGACCATTCTGGATTGGGAAGTACAGTTTCTCCAGAGAATTTCTCCACATCACCTCCACTGATTTTATCTGGGGAGAGGGGCATTAAAAAATGTGGTGTGATCTTAAGTAAGCTTTTACAGCAGGTAGTTTCTGAGCTTAATTTCTTTGAACATTGAAAGTTGAGAATAAATAAATGGTAGATTGAAAATCTCGATGTCCCGTTTTTGTACGTTAAATTATAGACAAATACCGTGACGTCTTCCGCAATGGTTTTGTCTATATCGGGAACAGATTTGTCCTTTGCTGAGAATCCTTCCATACCTTCTATCTTCTTCAGGACATTGTAACCCTTAAAAGCCGCCATTGAAGACAGCTCTCTTAACTCTGGGAGAAGGAACTTCAGAACTTGATCGGAAAATGGGAAGAGGATAGGGGTGAATCACGAAGCGACATATTATATTTATCTTACTTCAAAAGTAATGTTATGTGAATCAATGATAATTCCAGTTTTAGGCAATGTTTATTGATCATAGTTATAAATATAAAAAGTGTACCTGGTGAGCTTTTTTGGTTTAAGATTTTCAATTGATTGACGACTGACAACTTTAAATCGTTGACACTCATTACATCTGATATCTGGAATGAAGAGACTTTACTATGGTGGGGTCATCAAAATATAAAAGCCAGAGGTTCGATAAATGGAAAGAAATTCTACCGATGGATTATTCAAGTGCCATTCTATTTATAAATAATAAAGGCTAAACTATTACAGGAAACTAATAATAAATAAGGTTGTTAACCTTTTCTCCAACATCTAACAGCTTCTGATCGTACTCCAGCAAGGTGACCAAAACATCGTAGCAGTTAATTCTAATCCTGAGAACATCTTCCACGGACACAGTGGACAGTCCGGGCTTGATGTTATTCTCCTCACCTGGGTTCTCATCACCTGGGTTCTCGTCACCTGGGTTCTCATCACCTGGGTTCTCGTCACCTGGAATATTGGTTAACTGATCTTTTCTTTTAGAATATGGTCACGTTATTAATTGTGGCAGAAGAGTGTGTCTTTTAATGAATGCAAAATATAATTATAGTGACACTAGAAATTTTAAACATATCTATGAATAATAAGAATATGACAGTCTTCTTAACATATTCGTCGACATGAATTTTCAGGAACGAGCAGTTTTCAGCAGCGATCACCAATCTAACTAGTTGCGGGATCAAAAACCTTGTAAGAACTATTTAAACTATTGTTTTGGTCACCTGAACTGTCTAGAGAACTGATATCCACCAGGAGCCTATCTGTGCTCTCAATAATCCCCATTTCTATTGCATACTCTTTCGCTGTAGTGTTTGTCGACAGCTGAAGGTTGTGTTGTCAAAATTGATGGATTTAGTTTACACACGGAGTCATATATAACACAGGCCCAGGCTGCTTCCGCGATCGCGATAAATTGTCAATCACCTTGATTCCTATTCAAATTATAATCCGAAAGGTTCCGTCCGCATCCTAGTTCGTGATGTTAAAATGTAGAATGCAGCGCGTGTTATGTGTGTATGCCTTGAAGAAATGACAAACAACTTCATTCGTAAGTACTCAAGTGTAAAAATGTGAAATACAATATTTGTACTAAATCTGAAAAAACTCCATAAAAAGCATCAACTTAAAACAGTTGGAAAATATAAAAACTATCCTATGTCTACAGTTACGACAACCTATCTGCAACTGCAGGACTCGACCACCATGTCTTCGTATACAGTAAGATGGAAGTCCCGCCCAACAGCTATGAGTACAGTAAGAGGTTTAGTTTGGTCTGATACACAGGAAGCTCCCTGTACCTCTCCTCCGACTCCGCTATAGTAGAGAATGTTCTGGATGAAGGCGTGGTTTGTCATTGGGGTCTCCTCGTGGTCAAGGTGGCACTCTCCTGAGCAGATGTGAGCATTGAACTCCATTGGAGCTACCACTGAGTTGAGGCCGATCTTATTGAAGTTAACCATCAGGTCCTGAACTTTACAGTGGGGAGATGCAGATCTTCGTTCCAAGTGGTGGGTCTTACCAAACATCTGTAGGAAGTGTCTTCTAGCGATCTTAGCTGAGGGTTGAAGGATCTCCTGGTTCTTGTAAAGGAGGGTGAGATGAGGTTTTTCTTTTAGGTTTATTACTTTGTTAATTGGTAGAGATGAAGTAACTTCTATACCATGGGAACTCAGGAGAGTCTGCTCAGCTCTGATCACAATATCGAGAGTTTGTAACGAGGAAACAAGCTTGTGTTTAATCTTCAGAGGCAGAGCTGTTGGTTTTAGTGATCGTGAGGAGACATTGAACTTCTGCTCTGTTCCCAAAACCGTAATTACAAGAGTAGACATTTCTGTTGTGGGTTTGAGGTACACTATCAGTTCTACGTCTTTAAGAGTCCCATGCTGGTGACTGTCTTCGGGAAGGGTGTAGGACAGACTAATCTTGTGTTTGAAAATCTTCGTGGAAGTAGCTTTGGTGCTGACTATTCGGTTGGATCCTGAGTTAGGGTTATTGAGTAGCTCTTGAAGGTGTTTAGGAACTTTGGGATTGGTTGGAGTTGCTTTGAGAGAATGGTGGTCGAACCCGAACCCTCTCTCAAATGTTTCGCTGATCTCATTGGAGATTGTCGAGGACAAGAGAATAGCGAATGTGAAAACTGATAATAACATCGTGGTTGATAGAAAGTGATTGCAAACTGAAGAGGTTTAAGAGAAACTGATATATTCTGAACTGAGATTCACACTTTTATATAAAATATGAATTCGTCGCTGAACTACAAAGCTGGTTAGCTTGTCTGGCGCTGCGAGCAATTATTTGTTACTCTCTGTCTAGCATTCATCTCAGATCTACTGACTAGAAAACGAGCGTCTCACCAAGTGATCACGTTACCGTGACCAGATTCAATTACCTCCCGTCACCTGATCTGGAGGTCACTGTCAGCTGAACAAGGGAGATGAACAGCTGGCGACACGGGATGGCAAGCAATCACGTGACTGGATCAGCTGACAGGATGGACAGGTACTTTCAGCATGTTGGGATGGTAGGAACTAATCATGTGATGTACAGACTATACGTACAGATTATAACAGATGGTTGATAGTCTGTAGCCATAAGCCACATAACCGTGACATTTAAACCGCAGGTAACCGCTATTAAGGAACACTGTTATGTAGCACTGTTATGTAGCACTGTTATATAGCACTGTTATGTAGCACTTTTATGTAGCACTGTTATGTAGCACTGTTATATAGCACTGTTATGTAGCACTGTTATGTAGCACTGTTATGTAGCACTGTTATGAACATTGAACACTGTTATGCAGCACTGTTATGTATCACTGTTATGTAGCACTGTTATATAGCACTGTTATGTAGCACTGTTATATAGCACTGTTATATAGCACTGTTATGTAGCACTGTTATGTAGCACTGTTATGTATCACTGTTATGAACATTGAACACTGTTATGTAGCACTGTTATGTAGCACTGTCATATAGCACTGTTATGTAGCACTGTTATGTAGCACTGTTATGTATCACTGTTATGTAGCACTGTTATGTAGCACTGTTATGAAGCACTGTTATGTATCACTGTTATGAACATTGAACACTGTTATGTAGCACTGTTATGTAGCACTGTTATGTAGCACTGTTATATAGCACTGTTATGTATCACTGTTATGTAGCACTGTTATGTATCACTGTTATGAACATTGAACACTGTTATGTAGCACTGTTATGTAGCACTGTTATGTATCACTGTTATATAGCACTGTTATGTAGCACTGTTATGCAGCACTGTTATGTAGCACTGTTATGTAGCACTGTTATGTATCACTGTTATGAACTTTGAACACTGTTATGTAGCAGCTAGGCTGACTATCTGTCGTATATTATTATAAATAGTAGTATTATTATCTGTCTATCATTATGAAACGTTATTAACACCAGATTGAACTTTTGGAAACTTACCATATCACCTAGAGCCACTAATGTGTCTACAATCATTTTGTTGTGTTGTTTCATTCGTATCTGACAGTTGCTACTCGCCTCGATAAGATCATGCTGAAAAAATTAAGTCGATAAAATACACCGGACTTCGTGAATTTAAGTATCTAATAACACTATAAGTATATCCACAAGTTGCTACTTCTGAAACACAAACTTTAGTTGCGTTTACTATCTAAAGTCGACCCCAAAATGTCGGCAGTCAGCTTGCACCGATGTCACGTGATAATCCAGTCTGATAATAATCACATATTGTCATGTGATCCTATCAAAGTATCAACCCGACGGTCGACAACCATTGTTTTAGCTGCAACTTATAGTCAGTTTATAACAACAGGGCAGTACAACAAGCCGTGTAAAGCCCGTTAACTTACTTTAGGAATTGTTCTGAGTAGGGTTAGGAGCACTGACAGAAAGTTGTGTGATACGATCTTGTTGTGCTGGTTTCTCAGATAGTCCTGAAATAATGAGAGTTTACTTTAAAACTGGACAAGATCGCCACTGATCCCCTATTTATTCAGCTGTGGTGATTTGGTGAGTTTCTGCTAAAGCACACTACGGTGGAGAGGAAACTAGGGCGGAGGACGGTGCAGCGGAGGACAGTTCGGTGGAGGACAATACGATGGGAAAGAGAGACACTTGCAGCAGTCCACTCTACCCAATTGTGGGTTCTGGTAAATTTTATATCAACAATATGATACACGACCGCCACCTTGGGCCATTTCTCAGTTCCTGGAAAAGTAGTTCTACTTTTCTCAGAAAATTTTATTTAATCTCCCACGCTTTCAGCAGAGCAAATGTGATTTAAGTTTTCAGCCCAACAATTAGACACGAGTTGGCAAGTTCAGGAGTAGCACCGTACAGCTCTGTTGTGCATTACGAGATAAGCACACAAATATTACCGGAGTATGTTATCGATCTACCTGTCGAAATATGTGCGATAATTGTCGGTAGAGTTGTGAGAGAAACATCTTTAGAACGTGTCAGGACCATGGTATTACTTATAATTGATAGATGTGGTGATTCTCATGTACTGTAAGTGTACATAGTATCAATTAAAAGATTACAATGATACTTGAGACAACTGGAAATTTTTTTCCCTACTCTTGCCGAAGGCAAAAAGATCGTAGGGAAAGAGTAATCCGCAGAACATGAAATAGTCAATACCTGATGTGTTTATGAAAACTCAAAACGTAGTAATCATTCATTCCAGAAGCTGATTGCTTGCTTGATTATGAGACGGTTTTTAGATCTTATATTTAATCGAAAGGTTTTATTTAAAATATTATACTTCTTCAATTCTAAGCCCTATGAGTGATTTTTCCGAAATATTATGTGTACTTTGAAAACCCTTATGCATACTCTTTATTTAAAATCTTATCTTACTTTTAATTAGAAATCTTATGCAGAATTACATTTAGTGGTCATTATTTTAGTAATTTTGAAAACCTTTCCAAAAAAACGGGTAAAAACTCATTATCACTGATCATGGTATCCATTTAGACAAGCAACTGAAAATAGTAGCTTCAAAAAAGCCACAACTAACCGAAAGTTTATAGTTAAGGAATTATAGTTTGGATAAGATTAGTCGATTAGGATAAATGAGAAAAAAGATGGCACCTGAAACTATTTACTTGAATGGAAACCCAAGCATGGGAAGAGATCAAGAGGCAGGCCTAGGAAGAGCTTAAATGATGTATTTATTGAGGATGCTGAGCAGAGATTGGATCGGAATGGACTCACGATTGATTGTATGAGAAGATTAGCTGCAGACCGAAAGGGATGGAGAAATGTTACCCGCCGAAGTTGTATAATACAAAGTAATGACGCAGTCGACGCAGACTAATCCTTTTGGATGGAGATCTCGCCATGTAACATGTATGTATGAATCTATAAGTATATAAACAAAACTTTTTAGGAAAATTAAGTTTGACCCATATCTACATTCTCAGAAATTGTTGTGCAATTCTGGCACGAATTACGTGAGTTATTAAAGGGTTGCGTGTGGGCATTGACTTTTGGGCCACCCTGTATATACCTGAATCTTAGAGGTCTTGTTGCTGAGCCTGCCGATGAACTGCACAGCCAGTCTCATGTGGGGAGTGGCCGTGTCTATGTCGATGATGGGTCTGGCAGCACTCAGCATCACGTTACGCGCCATGTTGAACTGAATATATCCTGCAATGTGGGGAATCATCACAACAAATGTATGGACCATTCCAGGTAACGTAATTATCAAAAGTGTCTACTTTTTCGACTTCAATGGAAAATAGCAGTCAGTATTGTATATCGTCTCTTTAGTACTTATTTTGGTAAATCTTTCATTAGATAGTTAGATGCAATTGGTTTCAATGTAACATCAATAATATATTTTGAGATATCACCATCGGAAATTGGTAACGTTATATACAGGGCTACGCTACATTTCGAGTTTACAATTAATTAAAATGTAAAGTTCAGTCCAAAGAGGGACCACGAACGTGTAACACATCATGCAGGAATGCCTGTAAATGAAGTACAAAAACATTTGTGTTTTAGTTCTGTATTTGGTGTGCCTGATTGTGTTGCAACGTAATTCACAAAACCCGGTAACGTAATTCACATGGACACTTTTTAATGCAAAACATTGTCCTTCTATCTTTTTCTTGAGTACTATGTGTTGTCTTATATTAGAGTTATCTGTATGTTGAACACTCGTATTTAATACTATAAGCCCTGGGGCCTTGAGTTTGTGTTATAAAGTGCAGTTGTTTTCATGGTTTATTATTGATCTTTTTTGAAGAAAAAAAAACGCCATCAAAAAAGGTGTAACGTAATTACTAACGTAAAGGCTTTCGAATGTCTTTTTGCTAAACATCAAAACTAGAAAAAAATGGATGATTCTCAACCAATTCTGTTAAAGAAATTTGTTGATTCAAAACTTATCATACATATCACGATAGGTTTAAGGTGTTTTTCAGAATGTAGAACGACTTATAACGATCTTTATGTCACGGTTTAAGGTATTTTTATGATAAAAGTAAAAAAATTTTAAACGCGTGTATCTTCTAAAATAATACATAGACATCCTCATGCGGTTATATATTAACGCTTTCCAGTTCCTAAAAGAGAAAATTCTCTTCTTTTAATTTACATGCTGTACTATAACCTGATTACCTAGTTTCAAATATGATACTTGGTGACCCTCTTCTATAGCTTCATATCCTGTGTATTTATATGTTGAATTTCAGTGAATTTATTTCAGTGATAATTTATAAAATAAATTAATTTATATTATGTTGTTCGGGGAATTTATAACGTAATCAAACAAACGTTATTATATTCTGTCATCCAGCGATTAATAGATATTAGTTCGTTATTTTGTAAGTTTGGATAGCCAAAAAAACAAAAAACAACAGAAGTCTGACCTGACACAGCTGTGTTAATTTGATCCCAAACCCATTCAAAAATGGGTTCCTCGTTCGACATGCACACTTGCAACATCTGAGTGATAATATAGGTAATGATAAAGTTTAGTACCCTGACTGGGGAGACAAACATGCTTGGAGTTGGGTAAGATACAGAGACAAATAATTAATTTTTAATCAAAATTGCAAATTAATCAAACCTGCTTTTGAGCTCCAGAAAACTGGAGAAGATAACAAAGGCAACTGATAGCAGGCTGAGCAGATATGTTCCTGCTGATGAGCGAACAGAGCATCTCCACAAACCCAATATTTAGCAGCTGGGATACTATAACATCCCCAATATCCTCCTCGTCCGCATCCTGGGCACAGTATAATATTAAAGCGCTATGTTTTGTAACCGTTGTGAAATATAAAACACTATTTAAGTTTTATTAAAAGTAAAACTGATCAACTATTAAAAACATAAAAACTAGTGAAAATCAATGAATAGTTTTAATGAGGTGTTCAGAGAATGAAGTTTTTACGTTTGTACTAGCGGACCCATTCTGTAGGGTCTTCAACTGTAGCGTTATGGAGTTGAGGAGTTGTTTGACGATGAACTCGTTCTTTTGCCTCTCTTTCCTCAACCAGGAGAAGACTCTTTTCAGCAGGGACCACAGCTCACCGTCTTTATACATCTGTTAAATCGTTATTATGTAATGGAGTTCTATAACATTAACAGCAGTTGTCTTTATACATCTGTTAAATCGTTATTATGTATTGAAGTTCAATAACATTAACAGCAGTTGTCTTTATACATCTGTTAAATCGTTATTATGTATTATAGTTCTATAACATCAACAGCAGAATTGTATAAAAGCAGTTAAAACCAACTTATGATTTTTGAAGACAAGCATTCAATCAAATCTATAATTTAATGTATAAGCTTGACAATTCTTGTGATCTAAAATAAACAGATTGTATAGTTAAAGGTTAGTGCGATTATTATTTATTAGACAGTACTTCCAGGTACTAGGATGGATTTGACTTTAATGAGACTTTAATGAATTTCAGAGCTAGTTACTTACTGTGCAGTTACTAGTTACAGTTACTAGTTACTTACCAGTAGAGCCGGCACGTTCCTCGTATGTAATTGATCCAGCACAATATCCTTTGCTCCGGATATGACGTTGGTTGGGCCCTTGAACACTATTTCCGACAACGTCTGCTGTCCTGTTTTGGATTCTTCCAAACCTAGTGTACCTAGGAGAGAATCCATATTAGGAACCTTGCACTCGTACTTTTGTTGGCTTAGCTTTTAAGTGTAGCCCACACCCCACCATATCTTAATTTAACGTTTTGAAATGGATGTTGGCCGCAATAACACAATTTCCGGGTATCAAATAATTATATCAAATGCTGGTTCCTAATTGGTACTATCAATTAGGAACCAGCATTTGATATAATTATTTGGTTCCACCTGAGTTGTGAATATTTTAAAAAATCTAATACCATCTTTAATTACATAAAAATCAAGATACATGTCACAAATTTCCTATTCATTTCCTTATTCCTCTCTTAACAGGGTTCAAATTCACGTGGCGTAAAAAAATCCCCAACCAACCCCACTGACCCCGAAGTTCGGGGTACCATCAAAGGGGGCGCCAAATCGTCGTTTGAATGTGAAACAATTTAAGCAGGAGGTTCTGTTCTATAAAATAGCGGTGGAAGTAATTTCATAGGTCCAAAATGACTTTTCCAGATCCAGTTTAAACCTTAAATTGCACGTAACTAAATTACAAGAACTTTTTATCAGCGAATCCTCTCAGATTACGTAATTCGTAGAAACGCTACTGCATTTCCACGCTCAATAAGAAGCCGTAAATTCTCAGGTCGGTAACTTGGTTTTGTGAAAGGTAGTAAAAACAAAAAGCACTCCTGATCTTATATTGGGTGATTAGTGCGCTGCTCGACATCGTTATATGCTCTAAATACTCCTAATAAACCCTTACAAAGCGAATTTGGACCCCTAATTGTACCCGCTAATGGAATTGGAGTAATCAGTGTCCCAGTCTCCCACGTACAGTAAATTTGCTCTTATACCATAGTTTTCTTTAAAGCTTTAGGATGTAGCTTTCCTAACCGATTTCATTATATTTCGTTTAGTTTAGTCGAGTGGTTTTGGTCGTTAAATGAAATGTTGTCTCTTTCGTACCCGGTGTTACTGCTCGTAGTCTGTGGTAAGTTAAACAACTTAATAACAATCTGTTTAATTAACGTAATAATTTTATTAAAATGCTCGATCAGACCAAAATTAATAAAGCGATCTTAACTTAAAATATCTTGTACCAAAACTATGAAACATCTCAGACGCTGTATTGATTAACCTTGAGCGGGAGATCACCCTCACATCAGACATGGTGTCGCAAAGTACGACCTACTCACGCCCTAACCGTAAGTACGGCCCAGAAATGGCGATCGACAAGGACAAAGCCACTAAATCTCACACTGTTTGCGAAGACGGTAATAACGTTTGGTACAAGGTTGAGTTTAACAGGGAACATGCTGTGGAGAAGGTGGTTCTGATTAACAGCTTTGATGATGAATACAAAGCTAGAATGGACGGAACTGTGGTTATGGTACTGCTAGGGAGCGTTGAACACACCTGTGGAACTATCAGCGTGACGTCACAAAGTACAGAACCAGAGTACTCAATAAAGTGCAATAGTTGGTGGGGAAATGGGGTTACCTTGGAGGGAGAGGCGGGGAAACAGGATGCCTGCATTCATATGAGAGAGATACAAGTTTTTGAAACAGTCAGCATTGGTAAGCTTTTAACTTACCGTGTTATATTTTGAATTTACAGTGAGTGCTATAGGCTTTGACGTAAGCATGGTTCAGATTGAATAATACAGGGATTCCATTATAGGTTTTTTTAATACTTGATAGACTTTAATCAAAGAACCCAGTTCAATAGAGGGATATCTTTATAGCAGAGCTACATGAAAACGTGAGGGCAAGGTAATATAGCATAGTTATTCAATAACTCAGATATCTAACGTTTCGTGTTTTTCGGCATATAAAAACTCACAGTACACTACTGAGTGTGTAGGCTGAAAAGTGACATAACGGCACGCCATCTGAAACTATTAATTTCGCCAGGCTGTCAAATTGGCGAATATGCTTGAAAATACGGAGTCTGTATAATCTTCCCAATCAATCAATCAATCAATGCCCGTTGACTTAATGTCTGATTGTCTGTATTGTGGTGCTGGACGAACATGAAGATTGAAGAAAACATAATTTTGGCATGCATTCTTACCCGGCTCTAGTTTGGCATTCAAGGAATCCGCAACATTGAGCGGTATTAAGGCTGAAGTTGGACACAAGAAATAAATAGGTTGTAAATCGGAAAAATGTACCGTAATCCTTGATATTATAAAGGAGTAAAGGGGACTAGTACAACATAGGAAAGTTTTGCAGAATTAAATCTTAACCTTTGATCATTATGTCGTCCAGTGTGTGAGTGTGTGTTATTGAACAATATTTCTCAGTAAACTATAGAATCTAAGCTGATGACCAATAATCAATGATCAGTTTTTAACAGTAAATTAATCTTTTATTGTCACCTACCAAGAACTGTTTTGCCCAGTATGTCTAGCTCTTCGCTCTTCGAAAAAAACTGGTCCGGTACGTCACTTTTTACAGTCTGCAAATTTTAATATTAGCAAACAAATAAGCATTAAGCTGGAATTCACAAAAATTTATTAATATATAACGTAACAAACATTTACTAAACAAATCTGATTACCTAAATATTTTATCTTCACTTGTAAAATTGGTTGATAAAACAAATTTGTTTACAAATCTCGAAATCAAATAATCACAATAACTTTTTACCGTTCGAATTATCTTGATAACTTTTTGAAACATCCTGTTAACTCGATTTTGCTCCTCCATGGTCACTTTTCCGGCCTGCATGGATCTTTTTCGTTTCAACTCCATAATCTCTGAAAATTAGTCGTTATAATTATATCAAGAGCATTTATATAAACTGCCCCATAAGAACTATTCCTCTCTGAGAGAGGCTCTCTCTAAGGAAGTTGGAAATAACATGACGCCTTCAAAAAGTTAATATCCATGCTGAGAAATAGTCAAAATCACACTTCAAAGTAGGTCACGTAGAAAAACAACGCGATGTAGCACAAGTGCAGGTCAAATGAATTGTTCATTCTCATTAAAACTGTCAAAGGTTGGAGTCGAACACGAAAAAACACAGTCAATGAAAACAGAAATGCAATTTAGTTTAAAGAAACATACATGAGCAGATTTGATCAGCAATTTCAAGCACACTTACTCAATTGCCAATCTAATTTCAAGGTACAGCTTATTGTTCGATTGATTTGCTTCGATTGGAGCGGTTCTAAGACTGAAGATGGAGACGAAAATTGAAGAGGCTTATGATAAATAAGCTGCCATTATGAGTGATACTTTATAATTATGAAGCGAACTATAATAGAAGGCCAGGATAAAGCTCTATAAGTAAATCTGATCGGGCTTTATTCTTTTATTGAGCAGCATCATGCATTTTTGCAAAAGAGTTTAAGGAGATTTCAGAGTTTAAGCTGATCACAGATCAGCTCCCTGATTCCCCAAAGCCTTGATAATGAGCACTAACTAGCAGTGAGTGACCCTTCATAATTAATCCTCATTCCTATTTTATAAGCCAGGTCAGGTACCAACTTCTCTTTCTTGATATCTCAAATTAGGCGTTGAAAATTGAAATGGCGCGAGTAATTAAATAATAGCAGGTGTTCGCAATAAAGTTTAAATTTTACTTCTTAACACATGTTTCGCTCTCAAGTTTATGAGCTTTAACCTTTGTGATTAAATCATCTTTACCTCAATCAGTTTGACAATTAAATTTTTCTAAATCTTCAACAAAAGAGTACAAAATCTAACTAAATTATGAGTCGCTTAACCCAATCAGCCCACTTAGCCACGTAACTCAGTGCACCACTACTAAAACGAGGCCTGCGTCTCCAAACTCCAGATCAATTCATCGAGATGAAGCTATTCGTAATTCTCGCAATCCTCAGCAGTGTTACTGCTTATAAATGCAAGAAAGACGGGCTCCAGGCCGACCCTCTGGACTGTGCCAAGTATTACTGGTGTCAAGGTGATGCTGCCACACAATTCTCCTGTCCTGCTGGACTCCACTTCAACCCTGAACATCTCTACTGTGACTGGCCCGCAAATGTTGACTGCAAAACTGGTCCCACTGATGCCCCCGAACCTACTAAAGAGCCTAAGCCAACAACAAAGCCAGCTCCAACCACCCTACCAGCCCCAACAACAGAACCTGCCCCAACTGAGCCCCTGCCTGACCATGAGAAAGAGGTAGTTTGCTACTTTATCAACTGGGCATGGTATCGTCCTGGAGATGGGAAATACCTCCCCGAGGATATCGACCCTAAACTCTGCACCATTGTCAACTACGCTTTTGCTGTTCTCGGCTGGAACAAGATCATCGCCATGCACGACAGTTGGGCTGACAAGGACAACAAGTTTTACGACAGAGTTGTGGCCCTGAAGAAGGCTCCAGGATCTAAGGTTAAGAAAGTTTACTTGGCCATTGGAGGTTGGAACGACAGTGCTGGATCCAAGTACTCAGAAATGGTTACTGACCCTGCCAAGAGAAAGAAGTTTGTCGACCACGCAGTACCCTTCCTCCAACAGTACGGATTTGATGGTCTGGATCTTGACTGGGAGTATCCCAAGTGCTGGCAAGGAAACTGCAAGAAAGGGAAGGACTCTGAAAAGAAGGACTTCGCTGATTGGTGCGATGAGCTCAAGGCTGCTTTCAAGCCCCACGGACTTGGTCTAAGTGCTGCCGTATCTGCCAGTAAAACCATCATTGATGCAGGATACGATGTCCCCCGTCTCGCCAAGTCGCTGGATGAGTTGAACTTGATGACCTACGATTTCCATGGATCATGGGACAAAAAGACCGGACACAACGCACCCATGTTCCCTTGTGAAGGTGATGATATCGACTTCTTCAACGTCGACTCAGCTGTAAAGTACTGGATCGCAGCGGGATTTCCTCCTCGTAAGATCATGCTTGGGCTCCCCATCTACGGAAGATCCTTCAAACTGGACGATCCTTCAAACACGGGATTCCACTCACCAGCCAGGGACGGTGGTAGCGCCGGAAAATGGACCAGAGCCAAGGGATTCCTAGGTTACTACGAGATCTGCCAGTTCCTAAAGGAGGGATGGACCAAAGTGCAAACCCCTGATTGCGTTGTTGGGCCTTATGCTTACAAAGACAATCAATGGGTAGGGTACGATGACGTGGAGGCTGTTAAATTCAAGATGAACTACGTTAAAGAGAATAAGCTGGGAGGAGGCATGGTGTGGGATGTTTCTATGGATGATTTCAAGGGACTCTGTGGTGAAGGAAAGAATCCATTCCTGACTGCCATGAACAGATATCTTGCTCCTTAGATATACAATTACATAGATTTTCGAATAAAGGAATTTTAAAATTGTATGATAACATTAGCGTCTTTTTTATCTTTTGGGTTGAGAAACTTACTTAAAGTCAAATCGTCACCAATAAATAAAAACGGACAATCCTGAATAAGTTATATTTATAATTCTCTACAAAGTTTCCTACCGAACCATTAAAAACGGTATATAGGAGATTCACTAAATCATCAATTTAAAGAACAGATAAGAAATCGTACTTTTGAGATGACTATCTTCATTTTGAGCTACTACAGCTTCTTCTGGTTTTATTGCTCCAGCAGTACCACAAGCATTTACTCTCCACGTTTCGCCTTCAAATTTTACCTAAAATTATGCGCATAGCATTCAAACAACAAGCTTTAGAGTACAAGGAGGATTAAAAACACATCAATTAATAAATATCAAACTGGAAATGTAATGATGCGATCAACAAATTATTCTATAGTTGATAAAGCATGTTATAGAATCAGAAATTGCACATGTAATACAGCTAAAATTTGAAAACAGAAAACTCTTAGATTAGCTTTCACCTCTAAATCGTTGCCCCGTTCAGGCTTATAACTGTTAACCGCTTTAATAGCAGATAACAGCATGTTAAAGTTCTCCTCGTTCAGGAAAGGAGAAGTGGCTTTTAGGAGTAATCGCATGTTCACTGATAGTTGTTTTGCTATTTCGGGTCCTCCATTCTCGTTTAGCTGTGAATATTTGAGACTAATAGTTAATGTTATGAAAGAGGTAGAAGTTATGGTATCTATTAGATCTGGATTCTGGCTGTGATCAAAACTTTGACACATTGAAATGTCAACGAGTCTTTATTCTTTAAAATAGCTCATAATTTGGCTTAACCTCATGATAGCAAATACCTAAAACAGTTAAACGGTGCTTTAATTATTCTCCTGAAACAGCAATTATAATTTTCAGTTGTAAACACCACAATCTTCTCGTCAAACGTACCAAAACCATCGGAGCAGTGAATACTTCTGCAACTAGAGGGAGCGCCGAGTTGAACACAAAGTCAAGAAGATCTATAAAGGTTGTGTCGTCTTCATTCAGAAGTTTCAGCTAAAAGAAAGATTATCGTTCAATAACGTTTTAAACTCGATTCAATTAATACTCTACCTTCTACTCTACTTCTACTCTACTTCTACTCTACTTCTACTCTACTTCTACTCTACTTCTACTCTACTTCTACTCTACTTCTACTCTACTTCTACTCTACTTCTACTCTACTTCTACTCTACTTCTACTCTACTTCTACTCTACTTCTACTCTACTTCTACTCTACTTCTACTCTACTTCTACTCTACTTCTACTCTACTTCTACTCTACTTCTACTCTACTTCTACTCTACTTCTACTCTACTTCTACTCTACTTCTACTCTACTTCTACTCTACTTCTACTCTACTTCTACTCTACTTCTACTCTACTTCTACTCTACTTCTACAATAGGAGAATAACTATAAGACCAATGATCACTTATGTGTAGGAAAGGGAAAAGACTTTTGCTTACGCTGATTTCGAAGTAGCGCATGGAGGATAGATTGTTGAGCTGGGTAGGGACATCTCCCTTTGGCTCCAGTAGCGTGTTATATAAAACCTCTATAAGCTTACTTCCAGTAGCAGTGTACTGCAGCACGTCTGACACAAGCGCCACCTAAAAGGGTGGGTAATTTCCAGACAGATGATAGGTCGAAATTAAATCGTGCACTATTATAATGGGCGAACCCCATTCAACTTTCTCATTACGAATTTAAGTTTAACTGAAATAACCAAACGTTTACAGACAAACTCTGAAGAATTTAAATAACAAAATATACCCAAAAATTATGCAATCACCTTCTTGAGCTGTCCGTTGGACTTAACATAAACGTTCAAAAAGAACTTTAGGAGACATTTCAAGTAAACAACATCGGTTGAACACTTCTCAATGAGAATCTTTAGATCTTGGTAAGGAATTAACTCCTGGAGAAGGATAATGTGTTTATTGAGGTATGTACTGCGATCATGATGACACGCAATGACACTGAACATAAAACAATTATAGCCATTTACTAAAGATTTAGCGCTAAAAAACAAGCATCTCCAAAAACTACTGGTAAGGGTAAGCAATTTATTTTTCCGGTACCTTGCAAATAGTGAGAGATGACTTGAGAGATCCGGAAGCGCAGGTCGCCATCAGAGAAAGCATCTTCACAAAGTAAAGCCCCTTCCAGTTGTTAACTTCAAGATCTATTCTACAATCTGAGCCTGACTGAAAATAGGTCTGATTTTACTGTGTTTGTGTATCAATGGTTAGTGTTGTAAATATGTAAATATGTTTTCACTCATTATTGAGAATCATAAATGAAAATGGTTTATACCAAAGTACCGTTTTATCAACTTACTGAGTAACGGCAGTTTAACAAGTCGAGAGAAATAGATGTTCCGTTATCGGTTATCATGGATCCGTTTAGTTCTACCCAGTGATTTCTAATGAACCTCAACACATTTGCCTGTCGACAGTACGATCAATTAATACATTTATATAATATAGAGAGAATTATATGTCACAAAGAAATATCTCAATTGGCGATTTAACAGCTGTGTTTTATCATACAATAAACATATTCCTCTTCCAGTAAATGGGCAATTCAATAGATTTAAAGAAGACTGCGTGAGGAATATATCATTAGGCTATATTCAATTAAATATCTTATATGTATGTATTCAATAAACTATTCAATTAAGCTCATACATCCAGGAACAAAGTAAATTGTTCAGGACGCAAAAATTTCCAGAAAATAAGTAAAGAAAAAAAAAAGAAAAAAAAAGGAAACCTGAAGCTTGTAGAGGACTTGATTACTCTCCTCAAGATCGAGAATATTTTCCAACATCTCGAGGTAACGGTAGGTGGCGCGAGAGTTCAGTGCCAGCTCTTCTAGGCTCTTTGCATTCACCAGGGTCAGCAACTTGTCGAATATGGCTGTTGAATAAAGATTGTAAGAAATACCAACGTTTAACGTTTCCGTAGGAAGTATCAAACGCATTAATTATAATCATATTACAGAAAGTTAGACAATAAGTACAATTAATTAAAAGGAGCAGAATGTTTTACCTTGGAGGATGTCATCGTTGACCTTGATAGAGAGGTTGGTGTTAGCTGTGAAGACCTCGTTTAGAGCCAGCACACGTGATACCTCCAGCTCGCTGTTTGGCAAATTTCCTGCAACTTTGTGATATGCTTTGAGATTTTAGACATTTGGTTTTAGAACGTGCGCTTAGCTTGCTTTATGCAAATGAAAACACCCGCTGCACAGGGAAAGTTATGCAGCAAAAATAAAACATTAATATAAAGTACAAATTACAGTGTACAATGTTTACTCAGAATACAACAGTATTATTAATATTATCTATCAGATAAGATAAATATGAGCACTATATAATATGAGTTTCGAGGTTATTTCAACGGAACGTGTAGCATGTCCGTAACTGTAACACAAGAACACGTGTCACAAGAACACGTGTCACAAGAACACGTGTCACAAGAACACGTGCCACAGGAACACATGTCACAAGAACACGTGTCACAAGAACACGTTTCACAAGAACACGTGTCACAAGAACACGTGTCACAAGAACACGTGTCACAAGAACACGTGTCACAAGAACACGTGTCACAAGAACACATGTCACGAGAACACGTGTCACAAGAACACGTGTCACAGAAACACGTGTCACAGGAACGCGTGTCACAGAAACACGTGTCACAGGAACACGTGTCACAGGAACACGTGTTACAAGAACACGTGTCACAAGAACACGTGTCACAAGAACACGTGTCACAAGAACACGTGTCACAAGAACACGTGTCACAAGAACACGTCTCACAAGAACACGTGTCACAAGAACACGTGTCACCAGAACACGTGTCACCAGAACACGTGTCACAAGAACACGTGTCACAAGAACACGTGTCACAAGAACACGTGTTACAAGATCACCACGTGATCTGAACGAGAATAACATTTATCTTACTTATGGAATAAGTGCTGGTCCGCTCTGTTGGAAATTAACAGTTCAAATAGAAATTAGGGGTTTTAATAGGTTCAATAACGTCATTCCAAATAAATTGTGCAGAAGTCAGAAAATCATAGCTTAAAGAGGTCGCTTTAAAACATTTGGCAGCGGCATGTAAAAACGAAGGTAGCACTTATCAGCATAAACATAAAATCTTAACATGCATCATGCAGGCATCATTTCAGAAAAAATAACAAAAAGTAGGATATTACATCCCGATCTAGAATATTTTTTGTTCAAACATGTGATTATATTCGCGGTATGCTGAACATCTAGAAAATGTATACAGCACAATTATACCTTGAATGCTAATAAGCTCGATGAAGTGTTTCATGACGTTCCTTTGAGCGGCCGGAAGATTGGAAATAAGCAATTGGAGAAGGAAAAAGCGCGGGCTTTCATCTTGTCAACTGACTCGGCTACACTCTTCAGCTCTGAGCTTTCTATTGGTCGTGTTATCAGACTCGACATAGGTTCAACCAACAACCTGTTGGTATGAAGAATGTGTGGTAAATGTAACCGAACTGAGGATATCGAAAATAAAAATTTTGCGAATTTGACATCAGGACTGTAACTAACATGGAATAATAAATCTATTTAAATATCTTGACGATCAACAGCTATGGTACATGGTACATGTAAACATTCGAGTCATGACTTGGACGTATTTAGTGATCATCAAAAGAGTGACCAGTAAAGAGTGAAGTTGGATTATTAATAAATAAGTTGGTAGAAGCTGTCCTATCTAACATGTCCTATAAACTTATAAACTCATCACTCACGATATGATTTCTATCACGACATCCAGATCGTACAGGAGTTTTTGGCGAGCTTTGTTCACAGCCTGATCGTCATCTCTCAGGGACTGCTCCAATGACTCCAGTACCTACAAACAGTGTAGTGTAAGTTGGGGGAAAGGAAACAATCGCGGTAAATCGGAGTTTGCAGTAAATCTGGGCGTGGTGAATTGGGGTTTTACTGTTTTAGGAACATTTTTCTCAACTACTTTAATAACTACCAATATCAAGGCGAATAACTTATTAACATACGATCTCGAAGACTAAGAAAAGTCCAAAAGTCTAAAAGTCTTAAAGTGTAAAAGTATAAAAGTCTAAAAGTCTAAAAGTCTAAAAGTCTAAAAGTCTTAAAGTCTAAAAGTCTAAAAGTCTAAAAGTCTAAAAGTCTAAAAGTCTAAAAGTCTAAAAGTCTAAAAGTCTAAAAGTCTAAAAGTCTAAAAGTCTAAAAGTCTAAAAGTCTAAAAGTCTAAAAGTCTAAAAGTCTAAAGTAACTCTACACACATGTTAAAACTGAAAGCACAATATATGAAAATATTCACCGTGCAAATCTTCTCTCTAGATTCCAGCGAGAGCTCATCTCTCGCAGTTTTAAAGAAGCTCATGACGTTTTCAATAATCTCCTGCCTCTTGTCGAACTCTGGTGTCAGCGATATCGTTATCGCTGACTGATAAGATGATGTTTTGAGATGACGGTTAAATTTTGGTAGTAGATAAACAATGCAAGTTTCAGATAAAGAACAACGTTATGATCGAGTATAGATTTTCAATGAAACTATTATATCATCAATATCAAGATTCGACATAACCCTTGATAATATATAATATAATATGATAATTTTAACCTTGGGAAGCAACTCTAAAAGGCGATTTGTAGGAGATCTTATCATCACCAATAGTTTCATGGCACGTTCACATAGGGAATTATCTTCATATCTCATGGTATCAACTAGAACTCGAATCTGCAGAAACAAAAATTAAGGGGCAGTTAATAGTTATTTATGATTTGAATCCGTCAGCTGTGTTTTCATGTAGCACGAACTTTGATCTTACTGAAGCGAAAAATTTAGCAGCAAGAAATTTAAATAAACCACTCACAACTTCATCCATTTGAGAAAAGAGCTCAATCTTTTTGTACTCATCCATGAGCATTTGTTTCAAGGTGTTACATGCATCCACTTCTTTTTTAGAGGTTACATCAAAGTCAGGATCCTCAAAAGCCTTTATAATGACCTCGTGAAAACTTAAACGCATATCAAACTTCCCCAAAAAGTTCCCGATCTGATTCAACCATGTTTCTTTATTCTTGTTATAATTCTTGACCGTGGAGTAGACTTCCTTCATGACATGGGTCCAATAGTCAAATAGGGCTGACTCGTAAGCGTAATAGAGGACCCGTAGAGCTCTTTTCTTAATATCGAACAATTGCTGGTTTATCTCCAGTGGTTTGAACCTGAAAATCTTTTGGAAGGTTCGCTCGTTCTTAGGATCTGAAGGTTTTACAGCGTACATATCGTTGGTGCCATCTAGAAATGCGACGAGAGGGATAATGAACCTATTGGCATTTTCGTAGTTGATCCGTCGTGCCCTGAACATGTACTCCAGTAGCCGCATCATGTGATACCTGTACATGTTCTTCCTCCGGGAGTCGTGATCGTTAATAGTGCATGTAGCGTTTCTCTTTAAGAATCTCTCGAGCTCCTTCAACACGCTCTGGTAGAGATCTTCAGTTTTATCGGGGGGTTTACCACTGGAACCACAGATAGTGGCCCTGTTCACGATATTCTCATCGTATTGGAAAGTCAGCATCTGGGGGATTATCTTGGTGTCGGTGAACCCCGTGTCTATGTAAGCTGCTATCATAATCTGGATGTACCAACCCTTAACATTGCTGTCCACTTGTTTGTTTTTAATCACTTTAACACACTCAGCGAGAGTAAACATATTGTGCTGATCCACTAATCTATCTTTGATCTCGCTGTTAACCACTCTGCCGTACAGCAAACACTCGTATAACTGTAGCTGGCTTAACAAGCACTCATACAAGTCAGAGTTTTGGGTGATTTCTGTGATGGAGGTCCCTTCGTAAAAGATATCATTGTCTTTGATGATGTGCTTCAACAATGCTCGAGATCTGGAATTGTTCTTGAAGAGAAGATCTGAGATGATTTTCTGGTTCACGGGCACAGTTTTACCTCGGATTCTGCATAAGGAGCACATAATTTTTGCTAATTCCCTCTTTTTTACTCGGTCGGATGTTTTTTCAAATGCCGCGACAAGTTTGACAACTCGCTCTTCGAAGATGCTAGAGAGTAGAAATGGACAGTTGGATAATAATGAGTTTAAAGGTGAAACAACAGTTGGTGTTAGGTCAGCCTGGATCACATCTCCTCGGTCACCGTCCTGGATCATATCTCCTTGGTCACCGTCATCTGAATCATGACATTCGATACCAATCTTCAAATCATCTACTATTAACAATGACAATAACTCTGAAGTCCGTTTGTCAAAGCTGACAAAAGGTTTCACGCGAGAGATTTTATTCAAGAGCTTGCATATAGCATCAAGACAAAGTATAACTTCATTGGTTTTCACTTTGGTGGTAGAGTAAAGTTTTGCTAATTCAAACAATGTATCTACTATGCCGAAGGAGATGAAATCTTCTGCTGTCTCTTTTCTTGTTTCAAGTAACTGTTCGGAATCTATCATGGCCATACTTATTATTTTGTAATTAGCCACGGTAACCTTGAAGTCGTTTTTGTCCTTAGTCGAGATTGTGCTCAACAAAAGTTTCAATCCCAGAATTCTCATCGCAGAAGTTCTTCCCACAGTTTCAACCTCTCTTAATGTTACAGTGTCATTAAAGTTAAACTCGAGCTTACTAATAACAGTTGCATTATCACTACTCCCTATGTACCCCTTATCAGTAGCAAGTTTGACGTGAGCTCCTGTTTTGTAAACTTGATCCGTTTTGCCTCCACTATCCAGAGCGGCCTGAAGCCTAATATGCGCGCCATTACCGGGCAACCTGGCATATTCACCGGTTACAAAGTGCCGAAGTCGCACAGGGGTGCCATCTGTTATGAGGTCGCCTCTAAAAGCTCCGTCCGTAGTATCGTGTTCGAGAACCCAGTACGTTTCCACCGCGGTGCAGTTGTGTTTGTCTTTTGGTATGGGTATATCCTTAAGGGTGAGGTTTGTGGTCGTGCCGGTTTTGTTGTCAAGCACGAATCGCAGGTCGGTCCCAGACCTTGTAAGTTGGATCAAGTTTGTTCCCATCAGTCGAAAAGGATTCAGCATTTCCTCAATGTCCACTTCGTTCCAAGATGAAATCTGAAAATGAAAGTCAAAGATTCAAGATGGCAAGCTAGATTTATCATCGGTCAGATTTATGGCATTATATTTAAGAAATAATATCACAGGACACTGAGCATGCAAACCAACCTTCAATTCATCGCAATCGATCATCTGATAGTGCAACGACACCTTAAAGCTCTCATTGACAGGGCCAATGTTGATTTCAGGAAGGGAGGGATAGAAGCTATTTTCAGTGGACAGTGGAAGAAAACTGTTTCTCACGAATCCATCAGGATCAGTGAAAATGTTCACAATATCACAACTGTGGACAACATCACCCGCGGCATATCCTGGTATAACGGGCCACATTTTGAAAATGGTTTTCTTGCTCGGAATTTCCTCCAAACAGCAAGGAAAGTTTCTATCTTCAGTAGATGAGGTCCTGCTAGGGGTGTGCCCCATAAATCTCCTTGTTGCTACGTGCTCTAGTTGCATTTCCTGAAAATATCTTGAAGTAATTTGATAGATAATCCTATCAATTTCAAATGTATCATATTCTATGGATTAAGTTGTTGTGTGGTAAAATTGCAAAAATGGATGATTAAATGTTAACTGTTTTACTAATTTGAAAACTTTTTGGTTCCCATCATATTTATGGTTGCAAGAGATTTTTATAGTGTCAGGAAATATAATATAATATTTATAATAGTGATCGTACAACTTTTAACCTCTCCTATTTCAATGACCATACTACACCCTTTACGAGGTGCCACTATTAAGTACGGTAATCTGTTCTGGGTGATTCCAGTATAAACAGATGAGGTGCAACAAAAAACTATGGATCTAGACCCGTAAAGGTCGATAAACAACCGGGTTCGAGGGGCTAGCAACCCTTCAGCCTCAAAACTTGTTATTGAAACACCAAAGAAATCCCAAAAGTGGAGTGGCTCTCGGAGTTCAAGGAGGGGTGTAGCCAGGATGAAGCGCTCTGGGCAAAGCCGCAAGGACTCCAGTGAACAGATGAGAACAAAGAAGTCGCCTTATATTAATAGTGTTATTTTTATTTATTTCACAGCATATCACTCATGTGGACCCGGAGAAGGGGAAAGCACTCCCCTGCAACTTTAGTAAACACAGCATTAATATGGGAACGTGGAATGTGTCATCATCGGAGAGCAGTTCCTCCAAGCTGTATGAATTGTCACAGAATATGTCAGCATATAAAATGGATGTCTCGGGGCTCACAGACCCGGCACTGGGGAGGTTACCCTGGATGGTGGGTCCCTCTAGGCCTCTTTATTAACTCTGGAAGAAGTGATGGATACAGACGGCAAGGGGTAGGTTTCTCTCGAAGAAGACTAAATATTCACTTATTTCACACACTCCGATATCAGAACGTATTCTAGCAGCGAGGCTGCACAGTCGACATATCAACATTTCAATTGTGATAGCTTATGCCTCAACAGTGGATGCAGCAGTCGGGGTAAAGGATGACTTTTATCAGCAGCTATCAGGGGCATTTGATGAAACACCAGCTCATGACGTTAAGTTTTTACTCGGAGATCTAAATGCTCGCATTGGCTAAGATAACTCAGCTTGGTCCGGTGTGATTGGCAAGCATTCCCTTCACGTTTCATCAAATGACAACGGCCTTCAACTATTAGATTTCTGCGCAATACATCAGCTGACAATTGGTTTCCAGCATCGTGATATTCATATAGGAAGTCGGAAGTCAGACACAACGGTGAATTGTCAGAATGGGTTGAAGTAAGAGTTAAGACACCAGGCTTCCTAAGTACCTGCTTAACTGGACCCCTCCGCAAGGGATAAGATCTAGGGGTCGTCCAAGAAAGAAGTGGATGAGATGTTTACCGGAAGATGCTGCAGCGTTTTCAGGAAACACTGATATAGATCTGAAGGATCTAGTGATATGGCTAGTGACCGCAAACACTGGAGGGAGATGATATGACACAAACGGGAGTTCATTGGTGCAGGCCACTTGAATGATTGAGGAGACCTAATCAAGTAGTAGTTCATATGTATTTATGAAGGAGCCAGAATACAAAATTAATCATTGTGCACCAAAATGTAAATGTGCGTTTTCTGTCGTTTGCAATCAGGGTCAAGTATTTTATAATAAAAGTCAAGTATTTTATAATTGTCGATCGGTTAATTGTACCCATCCACATTTATATACATTTAAGATGCAGCTGCTTGCAACTATATGCTTGTTTACTGTAACAGTCTTCTCAGAGGTCACCGAACCAAATCAAGAGATCTCCAATTCTTTGACAGAAAAGCTTGGATTGTTTCCTAATTTGAAAACTTATATTGACAATGAAGGATACCAATCAAAGTGTGTAGATCAATACGATGAGTGCCGATATAATCCTGGTCTCTGTAAGTATAATGAATATAAAATTAGCTACTGTCAGAAAACATGCGGGACATGCAGGATGAAGGAGAAAAAGAATTTAGCGATCAAGATGGCGAAGACGAATCAGTTTGTGAAGATAAATTCGAAAGCTGCCGAAAAGATTTATGTAACTACAATGAATATAAAAATAGCTACTGTCAGAAAACCTGTGAGAGATGCGGGATGGAAGAGAAAGAAGAATTTCGTGATCAAGACGGCGAAAACGGCGAAGACAACGATGACGAATCAGTGTGTGAAAATAAATTCGAAAGCTGCCGAGAAGATTTATGTTCGTTCGAAGAGTTTTCTTCCGTCTTGTGCAGAAAAAGCTGTAAATTATGTACGGAGAAGGAAGAAGAAGAATTTAGTGATAAAGAAGGCGGTGACGATCACGAATCAACATGCGAAGATAAACATAGCAGCTGCCTTAGCGATTTCTGCAAACATGAACATTTTTCTTCTGTCTGGTGTAGAAGAAGCTGCAATTACTGCAAACGCATAAATTTAAGGATAAAATAAAGTCCTGCAGCAAGTCGTACTGCAAACACACTAACTTAGCAAAAAACTATTGTAAACATTTTTGTCAATTATGTGAAATTGATTAGAGCGATGAGTGAATCGTTATTTATGTGTACACTGTACAGTCAATGATTTATGATAAATTCAACTTCGGGTTATTTCCTATCAGAACATTTTCACATACGGATTTAAGACCAATTAATGATTTACATACTATTTTGCGTTCTTTGCTGTATAACGTCGCATTTCTAAGCTTGTACTGTGGATTCTTTATATGTTAGCTCTCTACTTATTTCACATTCAGAAACATTTTGGCAGAAACAGGATATTTATAATCCGAAAATGACAATAGAGACATACAGAAATGTCCATAATAAGAGTCGTTTATAACTAATTTGGAGCTGATAAAATAGATATACAATATACAGGGACCAATAGGATCGCCCGCTGCTTGTTTGACTTCTGCAGTTAGATTCGTATCCGAGTTGTTTTTAAACTTAAAGAGTAAACATTTGCTTGTGTGGTGTGATCTATGATGGATGCTTTCATCCAGAATGTCCATAATAAGAGTTGTTCATAACTAATTTGAAGCTGATAAGATATTTGTGGACCAATAAGATTGCCCGCTGCTTGTTTGACTATTGGCATTGCTGTTAGATTCGTATTTCGTACCCGAGCTATTTTCTAATATTTAAGAGTAAATATTTGTTTCTATAGTGTCAACTATAAAAATAAGTTTCTTCATCTCAATTTCCCCCTTAATCTCCAAGTTTATTGCTTTTACATCACACACTGACCTGCTGGTAGCGCACAGTGCGGGAGAGGGAGCGAACAAAGCGTTTCTTGTTGTCCACATTTTCATTCTCAACATCCTTTTCCAGTTTACTGATCTTTGGCCAGTTTTTTTTGGGGCGTTTAAACTCATTCTGCAGTGCGGCTTGGTCTTTAAATCTGCCGAAAAAATATATATATTTAGATATCATAGAATTGTAAAAATAACTTAACCAATAAAAATTAACACGAACCAGCTGCAGTTGATAATTATATCAACTGATAATTGATAACTAATTAAAGCATAAAATATAATGTAAATCGAAGATCATGACGACTACAATTATATTATGAGCAATGAGGCGGAGAATGTGACTGACTGATAAGGGGGGAGAATCCTAAACGTGCACCACATTGCTTGAGCTGACTCCAAAGACGAGCCATGGTCCAGAAGAAGAAGATTGTTGAGTGAACTGAAAGGGTAGAAAGCACCGATACTACCGGCCCCAGTACTCAGGTAGATTATATCCCCGTAATGCAGGGGGCGCCGTGGTGACATCATATTTGATGATGACATCATAGATTGAATATCGCAGTGAAGGGGGTCATGTACTACTAAAATAAGAAATAAATAATGTTTAGCTTTTTAAATAGACATTAGTTTATCTTGTTGCATTGAATCGTGTTTTTTTTTGTTCTTCAGAATTGAGGTGTTTATGATTTTATGATATGAAAACACTCACCTCTCTTTCGATGTGAACAATTTAAATCCTCTTTAAAAAAATGTACCTAGAAAGTACGTTATTAATGCATAGCGACACTATAGTAATACTATACTTTGAATCTAAACACTAAAAGGACAATAACCGTTGAAAAATCGCGTCTATCACATAAAGCTAACTATAATTCACGTTTTATGTATTTTTTGAAGAAACATTTCGAGGCACGCCAGTTGAGTGAGAGAAATCAAATACTGAATATTACTGAATACTACTGAATACTGAATGCTGATACTGAATACTGAATACTGAACAATGAATACTGAATACTGAATACTGAACACTGAATACTAAATACTGAACACTGAACACTGAATACTGAATACTGAATACTGAATACTGAATACTGAATACTGAATACTGAATACTGAATACTGAATACTGAATACTGAATACTGAATACTGAATACTGAATACTGAATACCGAATACTGAATACTGAATACTGAATACTGAATACTGAATAATGAATAATGAATACTGAATACTGAATACTGAATACTGAATATTGAATACTGAATAATGAATGCTGAATACTGAATACTGAACACTGAATATATTAATTATAATTTACTAAATATCGTGCACAAACACTGAGGCTACGTATTCTTGTGTACATTTGTATTGATCCCGTTTGATGCGACAAGGAAAAATGCTCTTATCAGGAAAGGAATGTCTCAACGCTTCGATGTTACAACATCGTATTCATGATCTAAAAATATTGATATCAAAATTAAAAACGTAATAAACATAGATCTGAGGTAAAATTAGTGTACGATCAATCAACTTTATTCAAAAATGCGATACAAAACTACGACAACAAAAAATATATAACACATGATTACATAAGCATGGAATGCTATAGCGGTGAACAGGTAATAGATTTGTGACGTGTGTAGGTATGTGTTTACAGTAAACAAATACTCGATCTTGCTGGAGTATGCGGAGTAATGGAGTATCATGGAATCGGGTGTGGAAAGTCCTTCGCCTCTTAGCGGGTGTCTTACCAACACTCAACCTGTCGATATAATTATAAAAGTGACCTGCTGCTCTTTAATAGTTCGCACATACTCTTGAACAGAGGGCTTTGGGTGATGCACTCGGGATTTAAATCATCTGTGAAAGCCCTCAACCATCGGGCAACCATGCTCGAGGTTCGAGGGAACTTTTTCATTCTAACCAAACGGCACGTAATGCATTTCGTAATCAATTACTTGCCGTTTAGCTAGCGGCATAGACAGTACAATAGTGATCAGGTAAGTTTTGATTGGCTGAAAAATGTAGCCTTTGTTTCATGAGAAATTAAATTATAAGTTGCGTTATTAAGTTTTGTTATCAAACTATAGAAAAAGGTAAACTTAGATAGTATCTAGATTCAAGCATCTGTAATACATAAACATCAAACAAGGATGTACAATGTCTCATCTGGTTCTATAATTCATGTAAACTAAACAAGATACTTCGTACTTACAATTAGATAAAATAATGGGTTGAGTTGCAACAACAACAACAAATATTGAACCAATCTTAAGTTTAATATATGGCTCATGAAGATCACAGCTCTTAAAACAGCAACTTTCGGCTACAACTTATTGAGAAATGAACGCATTCGTTGTCTGCAACAGCACCGAAAAAAGTGCAGAGGGGACACACAGCAAAACAAAAGAAAATTAAGATCTGCTGCTTCAGTTTCCTCGCATGATGCACAATATGATGCACAATATCACCACGACTTGCAAACAGCCAAGAGTTAGTATTTATTAACAGTTGCTTGCTTTCTACGCAGTGATGATTGATCAGCTTTCTTATTAAGTTATTACTGTATTAACGTCACTATTGTGACGGTACATTAGAACTGGACAGAAACAAATGCGTATATATAATGCGAGACGATATAAACCGCAAAAACTGTAAAAGATATACAACTTAAACCTTTTTGACTGGTTCAAAAATGTAAAATTGGCCAAGGAATAATAATTTTAGTGCCCAAAATGTTGACCCCCAGTGGTGTCAAAAACGGGAATTGAATAGGAATTAAACTGGAATTAAACTGGAATTAAACTTGAAATTACCAAGGAGAACACTAACGAACTCGTTTTAATATTACTTTAGTCTCTTGAGGTTTGACACCATTTTAGAGTTAGACTGGTTTTTGACTCATGTGATTCAGCGATCCGCTCTTCATATGGTACCGTTAGTTCCACCCAATAACCGTCTTTGCCGGCCTTGAGAATATCACAAGGTCCGGTCTCAGCTGTGTTTCCACAATCTCACTATATCGTCTCACTTTATATATAGTAAGAGAGTAAGATACAAATAGATGAGCTGATAAGGTTGAATGATGGTTTAGTTGGTAGACTGAATGATAGGTTCGTAGTAACCGTCAAATAATGGTCACGAATTGCAGCAAGCAGTTGCTGGCAGACCACAGACAATCTCGACTGTTCTGAGATCTTAAACACAAAGAAGGCTTGCACAATACACATTCTATACGTCATACTAGATACGACAAAACTCTGCAAAATATGCAGGATATGCAGTATGTACTAGTACGTAATAAATATATTAGTGTTGTGTTATATTCTGATTACAATTTACATGACACTTTTAAGACAATTACTGTAAATTTGATATGCAATTCAAATAACGACGATAATTTGTTATTGTAACCGTGGTCAGTCAGTCGGTACTCAAGCTCAGTTTAGAAGTTTAGAGAAGTAGACGTGCGAATACAACACAAAAGCTAATAATACTTGTGCAAGCAATTAAATTCAATAAGATAACAATTTAATCTATATTAATAATGTCAAAATCAAAATGTCGCTCACAAATCTTTGCACGTGCACGTTTAACACCGTTACCATGGTTACTATGCAACCTTTTGCTTTTGTTTACCTAATTTGCACGTGGGCAGTCGGACATACAGACAGGCAAACATAATCTTTTGAATTATAAGTAAGATATCTATCGTCTCGCTTTATACATAAGACTAGAAATCCCGTGGTGACAGGGAGAAAGCTAATAATATTCTTTGGTAGTTAGTTTTTATCGCATCAAAAAATATCCGTCACAACCGAAGATACAGTCGATTTAAATGTAGCTCGCAATTAAAAAAAACGTAATTACCACAAAGTCGATCAAAATTTCGCTCGCAAATCTTTGCACGTGCACTTTTGAGCACCGTTACCATGGTTACTATGCAGCTTCCTATTTCTCGTCTAATTTGCACGTGGGCGGTCGTACATACATTCTACAGACTTACAGACAGACAGAAATAATTCTTTGAATTATAGTAGAGACTAGAAAGCCCGTGGTAACAGGGACGAAGCTAGTAGTATTCTTTGAAAGAAAGTTTTAATCGCATCAAAAAATATCCATCTCAACCGAAGATACAGCCGATTTAAATAGAAAACACTTAAAACTTTAAAACACAACGTAATTACCACAAAACCGATCAAAATGATGTTAAAACAATCTTTGCACGTGCATGTGTGTATTAAAACACTGTTGCTATGGAACCTTTTGGTTGTTACCTAAGTTCCTATTTTTCATCTAATTTGCACGTGGGCGGTCGTACATACATTCTACATACAAAAAGAATTCTCTGAATTATAGTAGAGACTAGGTATCGACCCGCACGCAACACAAAGAGATTTTTACAGCATCTGATTGATGTAATCAATCGAAACTTATTACAATTCGAAAGCCGTGAATGAATGCCTTGAATGGGAAAAGCGAGCGACCGATTTCTCGATTTCATTCTCTATTTTTCATCTAATTTGCACGTGGGCGGTCGTACATACATTCTACATACAAAAAGAATTCTCTGAATTATAGTAGAGACTAGGTATCGACCCGCACGCAACACAAAGAGATTTTTACAGCATCTGATTGATGTAATCAATCGAAACTTATTACAATTCGAAAGCCGTGAATGAATGCCTTGAATGGGAAAAGCGAGCGACCGATTTCTCGATTTCATTCTCGGTATCATTTTGCATTTGAGAACGGTCAATCAAATTAATATCATTTCCTTTTGTTTGGGAAAGAGAGACACTGGCAGCGGTCCACTCTACCCATGATTATGGGTTTTGGTCAAATGGCGACTAGAAAACCCGTGGTCACAGGGAGGAACCTAATAGCTAATAGTATTCTTTGGAAGTCAGTTTTAATCGTGTCAAAAAGTATTCATCCCCACCAAAGATACAGTCAAATAAAATGTTGCTCGTACTAAACACAGCGTAATATCAACAAAATCGATTAAAATGACGTTAAAACAATCATTGCACGTGCACGTGAGTGTAACAATCATCGTTACTATGGTTACTACGCAAGTTCATATTTTTCGTTTGATTTGCACGTGGGCGGTCGTACAGTGTACAAAAATAATTCTCTGAATTATAGTAGAGATGACTAAAAAACCCGTCGTCACAGGGAGGAAGGTAATAGCATTCTTTCGTAGTAAGTTTGTAATAAGTTTTTATCGCATCTAAAAATATCTGTCACAACCGAATAGACACAGCCGATTAAAATGTTGCTCGCACTAAACACATCTGGGGCAGCTCTAAACCAATCATCACCAGCTGAAGTTGAAATTTACGGAATGCTATTTTGTGTCAATGTCTATTAGCTACTAAACTGGGAGTTTCAATGGCGGACCTAAAATATCAGACTGTTAATTCTTTAATTGGTCCGGCGGAGCTCTAACCAATCATCTCGAGGAATGTAAACAAACTTTCTGTCTTTTCTCAAAAATTTTCTTTTCTCAATGGTATTTTTCATTGCAAATTCAATGAAGCTCTATGTCATTCGTGTGCTTGATTTCTTGATTCTATTAT